ACATATAGTACAACCAAATGCTTGTTCTTCCCCACATCTATAATTCTTCCCAAAGGGGAAAAAAGTGAAATTCAAACTATTTTAAATACTCAATAATAATCCCAGCCCAGCTCAAGCTCAGTGCCTACTTGGTGTAATGCTACAGATCTGCCCAGCAGCAGAGAGATGTGAACTGTTCTCAACGGGCACTTTTCTGTGGGGAAAATTATATTATGGCTCACATGCATTATGATGGAGCCTTAGTCAACCTTCACTAAACTCATGTAGAAATATTAAAATCATCCTCCACCAGGGAAAACTGGAGGGGGAAAAAAAAAACTCTACAAAACCAAAGCTACCCTTCATTTATTCATTTACTTTTGATTCTAATACTGAGTCAGGTTTCATTCAGGGTTTGACTAAAGCTGTATTCAAAGTAGAGCTTCCATATCATCCTCATTTCAGGAGTGAGGCTAATACCAGCAAACTGGAGGAACTCCAGGCTCATAACCTGAAAACAGTCATTTGGTAAATCAACAGATTTGCCCTTTTCCTCAAAAGTGGGGGCAATGCTAATCAGAGCACATGTAAATGAGCATCTCCTGATTAGTGAGAGTTACTTCAGCCAAAATAATTCTTTACTCCTGTTAAATCAGTTAGATACCTCATGCTAATTTTCTGCTTGGCTGGTGAGTTCATTTTCCAGCATCTTTAACATGATCTCTCCTTTGAAATGTTGGTTTTAACAAGAAAGTGACTCCTGTTTGGAAAATCACATTCCAGGTAATTCATGCAGGATCGATGCTCCTTCACACTTCCATCAGGGTGTACACAATAGAACAGAAGAGGGGAAATCCAACTCAGTAAACTAGTATTTGAGAAGCAATGTGGATCATGACTAGGCTGTGAAGTCCAAAAGACCAGAGTTCAAATTCTACATCTGAGATATACTAGCTGTGTGACCTGTCACTGCTCAATTTCAGTCACGTCTGACTCTTTGCGACTTCACTTGGGGTTTTCTTGGCAAAGATATTGGAGTGGTTTTGCCATTTCCTTCTCCAGCTCATTTTACAGGTGAGGAAACTGAGAGTCTAATGACTTTCCCAGGGTCACACTGCTAGTAAGTATCTGAGGCTAGATATGAACCCAGAAAGACGAGTCTTCCTGATTCCAGGCCCAGCACTCTATCCACTGCACCACCTAGCCATCAGAGCAAGCAATTAACTTCTAGGTGCTCTAAGAAACTGCAAATTGCAGAGAAGGTGAAGACTTAGAGTTTCATCATCTGGGAATTCTCTGTATGAATGAAATCATAGCTTTAGTATTTATTCCTAAAATAACATTTATTAATAGTTTCGATAAAAGCTAGATAAACAAAAAGGGTAAAATTACTGGCTGAGATAAGGGGTGGAAAAGTTCTCTACGGTACTTATTCAACCTTCCTATGGATTACTTTTAAGACTTAGTTGGACTCATTTGAAAGTGTGACTGATGAGCTCAGCTGGTTAAAGCACAGTGCTAATGGGATTAATGTCATGGGTTCAGTCTACTTGGCTCTCCTCCCATTCCGTAACCAAAGACAGAACCATCTTCTCTCAAAAAACATGTGGCTTTGTAACAAGTCTGTAAAATAGCAGCTCTTGACCGTCTTTGTGTTATGAATCCTCCCCCTCCTTCGGCAGTCTGGTAAAGCCTTATGGATCCCTTTTCAGAATCATTTTTAAATGCATAAAATACAAAATGCATAGGCTTACAAAGAAACTAATCTTATTGAAATAGTTATCAAAACACAAGGGTCCCATGTTAAAAAAAAAACAACCCTGCTAAATATCCAGCCACTGTAGATAAAGCTGTAAGACAGCAACATTGTCCTATTTTATCACCCAAATGTATTCATCTGGGATAAATCACAGTAGACTGATGAAAAGACTTAAAAGGATGTAGGGGTTAATTTATTATAGGCAAAGTAGAAAGAGCATCAGATGGGGACTCAGAGGACCGTGGACAAGGTGTATAGTAAGTCTCTGGCCTTGATCTTCTCAACTGTAAGATGAGGGGGTGGTACTAATGTCCCCTCCCACCATGACCATATGACTTTTTTTTTCCTTTTAAATCCTCATTTATCCCTTCCTCCTCTCTCCATGTAATATTCTACACCTGGCACAAAGGCCAGAGTAACAGCGAGTGTCAGATAACTCAATAGTACCTTATCCAAGGTTCAGAACTTTCCTGAAGTGAGACATTGTCAGCTTGAGAAGAGGGATACACGTTTTTCACGATAGTGGTTGTATTTTTTCTCTGTTTCTGATATCTCCATCTACCCTGACCTTGTTCTCCCCAAGATATCATGTGGGGGAAGAATACTAACAGATTGATTCACTTAAGTAAAATATTTGGAATTTATCTAACCTATTTACATTCTAAATGGAGGACTATAACAATTTCCTTAATGGAGTTCTAATTACCCAGAAAGCTAATTGTTATACATTCCCCTAAAGTCCTTCCATGGGGCATCAAGGTGATGCAGTGGATAGAGCACTAGACTTGGAATCATGAGTTCATGTCTGGCCTCAGACACTTAATGTGTGACCCTGGGCAAGTCAATTAACCCTATTTGTGTCAGTTTCCTCATCTGTCAAATGAGCTGGAGAAGGAAATGGCAAACCAGTCTGGTATCTTTGCCAAGAAAACCCCAAATCAGGTCATGAAGATTTGGACAAGGCTGAAAAACAACAAAAAGTCTTTCCTTCCAGGGAACAGCTAAGAGCACTTCTACCTCATTTAAATATTCTTTTGTAGAGGGCACAATTTTCCTTATCAACAATCACCAAAGCAAAGAAATGGGATGGATAGGATAACGCCTCCCTCTTTCCACACAAACCCTGAAGGCTTACCTTTAGAGCCCTATGTCTCTAGAATAAAACACAAACAGTTTAACATTCAATTGACTCCCACCTACCCATTTTTCCAGCTTTATTTCATATTTTCACCTTCACACAGTATTCTACATCACAGTCAAACTAGACTACTATCTATTTCCCAAATTCAACATGATATTTTCCATGCATTCACAAAGGCCATCCCCTCTCCTATTCTCCCATGCCTGGAATGCCTTCCCTTAACCCTGAATTTCCTACTTTAGTTACTGGTGCCTCTGTATTTGCTTTGTATTTGTGCAACTCTGCCTCACTTAAATCCAATTCATTGCACAAGTCAAGACATCACCCATGGTGTCACTGGTCCCTTTTGAAAACAAAGGGCAAAACAACCACTTTGAACACACCTAGGGGTGGACCATATTGTTTTCCTCCTATAAAACATAAGCTCCCTAAAGGCAGGATCTGCTTCATTTTTGTCTTTTTAACTCCAGTGACTAGTAGAATGCCTGGCGCATAGTAAGCACTTAATAAATTCTTGTTGACTGGATGTTAAAATCCTTCTCTTCCTTTAAGTCTCACCTCAAGTGACCCCCAGGCTCCTCCAAGACACTTTCCCTGATCCTCTCATAACTTCTCCTGTGTTATTCTCCTGCTCCACCCTGTTTTACATTTATCTGATTTGAAGTAAAGGGAGAAAAAAAAAAGGAAAGCTGTTGTTTCATTTTTGTAGTTTAGAAACCCAGAGAGAAAATAGTTCAATAACAATACATTCAGCTGGGTATAAAAGAGTCTGTAGGAATCTTGAGGAAAAATTTGCTGGAGAAGAAGAAAAGGAATCTGAGGTGTGTGTGTGTGTGTGTGTGTGTGTGTGTGTGTGTGTAGAGTGGGGAGAGGTGGCATGAGTGAGGAAAAGTAGGAAGCATCTCTCTGGATACTTCTATTGAAATACAGTATTCTTTTCACTGGATTGTTTATGGAAGACGGATGTAAAATGTCAAAGGAGAAGAATGCATTCAGAAAAGCAGAAAGGGCTATCTTAGTTATCTTAGTTAGAAATAGTTATCTTAGATGTATCCTGCCTTTGGCAAATGCAACATCTGAAAAACCTGGATTTAAAAAATAGATCAGGAGGCAATTTTGCCACAGGTGGTTTTATTTTTAACATGATGCTTAACAGATGTATCTTACTTCATGCAGCAGATGGATCATCATTGATACAGCAAGTTGTGAGCCATGTGGAAAATTGTATACATTCAGTTTCTATAATATTTAAAATTCATTAGGGAAGCTTGCCTTTTCCCCCCTTTTTACAAGGCTATTTCATTTAGGAAGTCGTGGAGGTGAAGGCAGGGTCTTACCAGTGTTAAGTGGTCACTAGACCTTTACCTTTGTATTTGTGACCAGTTCAGAGAATCCAGCCTACAAAAGCCCAATGCCTTACATTTTCAAACCACTTAACACTTTTCAAAGCCCTTTTCATATCCGTGCTCTCATTGCAAATCCAATTTTTACAGCTAAAGAAAACCAGGCCCAAAGGCTACATAGGTAGTTATAATGAAAGAACCTGAACTAGGACCTGGGTCTCTTTGTTCCTAAGTCATGGACACTTTCAACTATACCTATACAAATGCATTTTGTGTCTAAAATGATTTATGATTAATTTCTAGGACATATGTACTATATTAGGGGAAAGATTGTGTGTGTGTGTGTGTGTGATTTCATGACTTCTGAAATGAAATGAAAATGACTTTGGGGTTGCCAGATTCTCTTGCCTTGCTTTATTTCAAGATTTCTAAACTAGTAAAACACAAACTGTGTTGAAACTCATATCCAAAGTGGATTTTTGGTGAAGTCAGTAGTCTTATACTGAAGAGTTTTAAAAAGGTATTTTAAACGCACACACACACACACACACACACACACACACACACACACACACACTCATACACTTCACTTACTGGAAATGCCTTATTTGAATTGAGGACTACCTAGGTATACCTATCAAGTCATATAGTGCATAAGTAAATGCAAATCACCCATGCATAGCAATTTGCAAGATTAAATTTTTAAAAGGGAGTTAAAACCAGCATGTTCTAAAGTAAGAGCCATAAAAATGACCTTGGAGTTGACAAGTTCTCATACCTTACTTTATTCTTCTTCTTCTTCTTCTGCGACTCCCGTTTCTTTATGCACCACCACTCTTGTGACTGACATGTCAGGGTGCTGCTCTTTGGCTTCCTTAATTGCCTGTGCCAATGCCTAGCGGGGTAGAAGACAGATAATTTGGGTTAGCGATCAGTGGTAAAATTAGAAAACGGTATTTTAAAAGGATCTCTGTAGATAGGGCCCTGGGCCTGGAAAAAGGAAGACTTCTCTTCCTGAGTTCAAATCTGGCCTTATACATATCGTAGCTGTGTGACCCTGGGCAAGTCACTCAACCCTATTTGCCTCAGTTTCCTCATCTGTAAAATGAGTTGGAGAAGGAAATAGCAAACTACTCCAGTATCTTTGCCAAGAAAATCTCAAATGGAGTCACAAAGAGTCAGACTTGACTGAAAGGACTGAACAATAACAACAACTATTTATATCTCTTGACAACACAGTTATCCCACTACTGGCATGGATCCTAAGGTCATCAAAAACAGAAAGAAAAGTCCTATCTACTGGTATCTATATGTATGTAAATGCACACACATGCCGAAGCACACTTTTTTCAGTAGCCAAAAAAAAAAAGAAAAAAAAAAAAAAAAAGAAAACGAAGTGGGTGACTAGTGGGGAAAGGTCAAACAAAGTAATGGTACAGGAATGTTATGGTAATTTAATGGTGCCATAAGAAATGATAAATGTGAGGAATTCAGAGAAACAATAAAAAAACCTAAATGAATTGATACACAGTAATGGAAGCAAGCTGAACCAAGAAAACCATCTGCAAAATGATCACAATGACTCAAATGAAAACAATTCTAAATAGGCAGCTGAACTTAGACTGAATCTAAGGACTAATCTTGGTCCTAGAAAACAATGATGATATAAACACTCTACCCTCCCTTTGGTAGGGAAGGGGTTGATGATCCTATGATTTTATATCTAGACTTGGAAAGATAACCTGAAATCTAATCTAATGTGACCCCTTTATTTTTCAGATGAGGGAACTAAGGAGGGTAAGTGATTTAAACGCCCAAGGAGCAATGGGTTTTCTACGTTTTATTTAACTGTTTTTCTTTACGACAGGGAGGATTTTATTGGGGGTAGAAATGGTACAGGCATGATGGGAAATAACTATGATTATTTAAAAAAAACCCAAAAGCATTAATAAAACTCTTTATGGAGGGGCTGGCTGGTTTCAAACAGAATGGTGTGCTGCTAAAATTCTCCCAACTTAAAACAGGTTCATTGCCTTGTAAGCATGTATGAAAGGGAAAGAGTGGGTTCTGTTGCCCCCTCGTGCTCATGTCAGGTAATGTTTCTTTACCAAAGGCAGAAGAAAAATTCTTCTTTACATTTGTGCCCCTGCTTACCTCTCCAGCCCCACCCCCCTTTACTGTGGAAATACAGAAAAGCACAGAGAGGAAATTAATCAGGACAGAATAACAGAATGAAAGAGTTGGAAAGGATCTTAGAAATCACTTATTCCAGCTTTATATGAAAGAAAAATTGAAGCTCAGAAGGAACTAAAATTCAGCTCTCCTTGTTCCCAGGCAGCTAACTCTTTTCAGCATGCCACTCCAAGAAAACACGGATCAGCATAAGCTTTCTTTATCCACGCATAAAAAAAGTTCAATCTCCGCAGGTAGGAGGCAAAGGAAAACAGAATGGAGGAGAAGCACAAAAAGCATTGCTGTTGGAAGAAATCAGAATTCCCTGAGAGCAAAAGTAATGGTCTTCCTTTGATTTTTAAAGCTGGAAAGAAATCCAACCTAGGATAAATTACTGTATCTTATTAGGAAAACATGGATTCAAAATGTAACACTACAATATGTCTAATACCATATGTCTTCACTAAGTCTACTGGCATCTGGTTAATGCCAAAAAAAATTAGCTTTTACAGAATGATTTGAGTTGTGTTATTCTGTGCAAAGAATATTATCTATAAAAACAAGAGTTGGAAAATGTAGACTATGAAAATTGTGAAAAAGCTTAAATATACTCAAATGTTCGTGCTATCAGCAGAAAGTGGAGAATTAGGAGGAGGTGGTGGTTCGGAAAGGAAGATAGGTACAGTAATATGTTAAAAATCGTGTGTGTGTCTGTGTGTCTGTTTGTGTGCGTGTGCACGTGTGTGCTGGGAAGGAGGGAAAACCAGGGAAAGAGTGAGGATGGAAATAAATCTAACTGCAGCTACAAAGCATCATGTGTTACCACATGCTTTTTTTTTTTAACTATATCTAAGGTGTCATATAACCAAGGCATTACTACATAAACTGTTTATGCTTCAAAGGACATGAGAAAGCACCTAAGCACAGTGGTTCTTACTCTTTTTTGGGTCATAGACCTTCTTTAGGTAATCTGAGGCCGATGGACCCCTTCTCCTAACATTTGTAGCCTACACTCCTAATTGAAGAATATCCTAAATTTCAGCTAGAGGTTAGTGAAAATAATACAATTATTTTTTCCATTCAAGTTCACAAATTCCCTGAAATCTGTCCATAGACCAGTGGGGGTCTGTGGATACTGGATTAAAAAGATATCTAATCAAATCTTTCACTTTACAAATAAAGGCCTGTAAATTAGTTTCATGGTAATTAAGTGCTTTATACATAGTAGGTATATAATGAATGTTGGTTGAACTAAACTGCAATTTACAGTACTTTGGCAGACACAGCCAATAATTATCCTACAACTAGCAACTCCTTTCCTGGGGCACAGGGGTGGGGAAAAGTTGCTGTTTAGTTGTGGAGCTGTTGTTTGATATAGAAATAGCTTTGTTATACCAGTCATACCAATATACTGCTTAGAATGTAGCAATAGTCTTTAGAGTGGATTCCAACCTGGATTCATTTGGTGAGCATCTTACACTGGCAATATGTCTGGTACATAACGGAACCTTATGTGCACTAAAGTATGTTTTGGTTGGCAGAAAGTTACTTAGTAACTGAGAGCTGCTTCCCTTGCCCAGGCATCAAGGCAGATGTGAAACCAGAAGCTATTGCAATAATTTTCCTTCCATAAAACCAGCATTTTAAAATTGCATTCCATAAAAAATATGGATTTGTTGGCATTCCAATTGAGAATTTTAAGAAAAGATGGTCAGTCAATAAACATTTATTAAGTACCACATACCAGGCACTGTGTTAAATTCTGGGGATACAAATGAAGGTAAAAATAATGCCTACCCTCAAGAAACTTACACCGTAATGAAGGAAACTTTATATCTGAAACTGGAGCTAATAAGGATTTTTAAGGAGGTAATAATTGGACTTTACTGAGTAGGAGGTGATGTGGGCAAACCCACACTTCAGGAAAATCACACTGGCAGCTGAGTTTAGGATAGATGGGAATGGGGAGAGACCAAATAGAAGGCTGCTGTATTTGTTCAGGACAAAGGCAATGAGAGACTGAACTACAGCAGTGGCTGTGTGAGTAGAGAAAAGGGGATGCTGGATATAGTGAGTGAGCAAAAGTGAGGAAAAACGGGTGACACCAAGGTTTCAAGCCCTGATAATTGGGAGGCACGGTGGTGAGCAAGGCAATAATGAGATTTTCAGAAGAGAGAAGGGTTTGGTGGGAAAAATAACAGACGTATCAAGTAGGAGGTACCCACAGGCACATCCAGTTTGGGATGCCCAAAAGGTACTTAATAGGCACAAATTTGGAGGCTATGTTATCTCCTAGCAACCTGTCATGGGGAAAGATCAATTGCAGAGCTTGTTGGGGCTCTTCCCCGATTAAGATTTGGAAACTTAATATGGAACACACCATGCAGGTTTCTGCTGTTTGGAAGCAGGTGGTGTAGTGTATCTGCCAGATCTAGAGTCAGGAAGACCAGAGATCAAATCCGGCTGTAGACACTTACTAGCTGTGTGACCCTGGGCAAGTCACTTAACTCTGTTTGCCTCAGTTTCCTCATCTGTAAAACGAGCTGAAGAAGGAAATGGCAAACCATTCTGGTATCTTTGCCAAGAAAACTCCAAATGGGGCCACAAAGAGTCAGACACGACTGAAAAGACTGAACAACAGTGAGTGAATTCAGAATTCTATTTCTTTATTCTATTCTATTTCTTTATTACATATTTGTATTTGTTCACTATTGATCCCCCCCCTTAGGTTTTAGAAAAGATCTGAGAAAGAGGTCTGTGATATTATTTGAGATACTACTTGATTTTCCCAACATTGGCAATGAAGGGAAAGCTAGCATCCTCATTCAATTCTCAACAGCTTGGTCATTTAATTATGGCCTTCAAGAACAGACAAGCACAATAGAACATGAAATTCAATTTCCTTAAAAAGCCTATACTACAGTATAATTAAGAATGAAAATTAAATCAGCAGGTTTAGACTTTTTTAAAACAAATTACAGGGAAGGCTAGTGAGTAGAAGGCATGTAGATTTTGGCTCAGTTTAAGAAAGGACTTTAAAAAAAAAGCAATTTAAAGCTGTTTAAAAATGAAAAGGTATTTTCATGCTAGGTAATATATCTCTGCCATGGAAGTGGTTCAAATAAAGATTGGAAAACTGCTCTAGAGGACATCCTAGAATAAATTTGCCTATTATTAAAGGGGGTTGGATAGAAACTAGGTACTCTACTACTCTACTACTAGGTGCAGTAGAGTGCTGGGCTCTGAGTCAGGAAGATTCAACTTTGTGAGTTCAAATCTGGCCTCAGACACTTCTTAGCTGTGTGACCCTGGGCAAGTCACTTAAACCCATTTGCCTCAGTTTTCTCATCTATAAAATGAGCTGGAGAAGAAAACAGCAAAACTATTCCAGTGTCTCTGCCAAGAAAACCCCAAATGGGGTCACGAAGAGTCAGACACGACTGAAAAATGTCAGAACAACAAAGGGAGTTGTGCTAAATGATCCTATCACAGATCCTGAAGGTCTAAGACATCTTAGGTCCTCCTCACCTGTGTGTTTATTTCCAATTTCAAAACAGGATCCAAGTCATCATATAATAGCGGCTGTATCCCTAAATAGTAATTAATGTCAATATTTCATTATGATAAATTCCTAACATTAAAGCTATGCATATGTACTATTTGGCACCTACATTTCAGATTTCTGCGTACTTGATTTTCACTAAGATGTGTTGCAAAATACTAATCCTAGACTAGAACTTTCATGTAAACACCAAAAAAGGCACAAAAAAAACCAGAGCTGAAATCATGTCTGAGTTAAAATTCCTGTGGGAAAGGAGCTATGTTGAAGATCTAAGGAGTTAGGTTGCAGGGGTAAGAGGGAAACAGTTGGAGGGAAATCAACTTCTGCTTGGGGAAAAGAGAAATCTCCAGGGGTAACTCCTTCCCAGACTGTGGAAGCAGTCCCAGAACTGGCCGGTAGGGCTGGCAAAAATAAAGGGCAGGAATCTGGCCCACTCTCATTTGAAGCCAGGAAGTGGAGGATCCTCACTCAGACTAATCTAAACTGACAGGTCATATAATCAATTCCATACCTTTTTCAAGGACACACTGCTAACATGGAAAGGATACCCTTTGGTTACAGTAAAGGAGAAACACTACTTTAACTTTAAAAATCTGTCTCTGCCCAATGCTTCTTCCAGTTTCTCTCCCCACCCACCAACCCCAGTTCATTCCACCACATGGAATTTGGTTTTCCTCCTCTGTACTTTAAAGAAACTGGCTCAGTCCTTAACTTGCCCTCCTTCTCCTTGATCTCCTCGGAGTGGTTGATAATGTGGACCATGACTCTATTTCCAGATATTCTCCTGGCTTCTCCAAATATTATATTCCCGGTAATCTTCCTTTCTGATTAATTCTCCTGTTTCCTCTACTGGCTTCTCTATAGCTCAAATATCTGCAAAAGGAGCCAATGAAGGGCTCCTGGATCACTTTGGTAGATAAGTCTGACCTTTATAAGTTAGAGATGGACATTTTTGTGCTCTCCCAACATTCTCTGTATACAGATAGGAATGTGCATCCTTCCTCAGAATTTAGGTAAACATAAACTCATATGGAATGGCAGAAAGAGCACTGACTTAGAGCAAGAACACTTTGCTTCAAATCCAAGATTTGCTACTTACTACCTATGGGATCCTGGCAAGTCACCTCAACTCTTTAAGCCTCAGTTTCCTCAAGCATTAAACAAGGAGGTTGGATGAGATGGTCTTTGAAATCTTTTCTAGCTCTAAAGTCGATCATCAAATATATTATCCTTTTTACTTTTAGATTTTTTTTTGGTCTCACTCACTGATAAATAATATCAATCAATCAATCAATCAACATCTTTTTGTGGGAAGGCAACTGGAGTTAAGTGACTTGCACAGGGTCATGCAGCTAGTAAGTGTCTGAGGACGGATTTGAACTCAGGTCCTCCTGACTCCAGGCCTAGTGCTCTATCCACTACGCCACCTAACTGTCCCATCAATAAACCTTTATTAAGCACTTACTATGTTCCAGGTACTGTGCTTCCTTTTTTGAAGGAAGGTACTGATTCACCTTTTATCTGTGTAACTTCAATGTCCAGCATAGTGCCTTAAACATAGCAGGTATTTAAAAAAATACTTCATGCACTAAAGCTGAGTGCTCTTCAAGGTTCTGGCCTTTGCCTTCTCTCTCCCTCTTCTCTTTTTACCCTCACTCCTTTGGTAATTTCATCTTCTTTTATAGTTTCAACTATCACATCAATGCAGATTACTCTGAACTATGTTTAATCTTAACCTCTCTCCCAAGCTCAGGACCTGCATTTCCAAGTGCTATGGGGATATTTCCACCTTGGAATCCCACAGGTACATCAAATTCAACATGTCTGCAACTGATTAAGCTTATTATCTTCTCCTCAGAACTTGCTTCTCTCCTCCAGATTTCATCATGTTTATTGATGACACCAACATTCACCCAAGGTTCCATGCCCATAATCCTGCGGTTTTCTTTGATTCTTCCCTGTGATAACTTTTCTGTATTAATTACACTAAACTCTCTCTTCATTCTGTTCCTTCTTTCTATGCCCATCGCCTCCACCCTACTTTGGCCTATCATTACTACTTAACATGACCATGGTCTCCTATCTGCTTTTCCTAAATCCGTTGACCACACCATTCTTCTGCTCTGAAACCTTTAGCATCTCCCTATTGAATCTCCTGAGTAAAATGTAAAATTCTTACCCTGGCATTCCACATCCTTCATAATTTGGTAAAACTCTATCTTTTCAGGTTTATTTCATGCAAGGAACCATTACCCAGACATGTCCCATACTTTCCTATCTCTTGTGCCTTTTGCTCACATTGCTTCCTATACCTAGAATGTACACCCTTTCCTCCTCTCAACTTTGTAAGCATAACACAAAGCGTGGCATGGATAGATAGCAGTTATCCTGAAAAGGATATAGGACTTTTAATGGACTGAGAGGTGGTCACCAAAAAAATTACAGCAATTCTGGACTATATTCAAGGGGACATAGCTGCCAGGAATTGAGAGATGATCATACTAGTACTCTGATCTTGTAACACATCATTATAACATGTGTTATATTCAGTTTTAGGTGCCACAGTTTAAGAAGGATATTGATAAACTTAAGGTACAGAGAATATGGGCCAGAATGGCAAAAGATATTGAATTCATATCACACAAGGATCAGAGAAGCATCAGAAAGGATATCATATCATAGCTGTCTTCAAATATATCTGAAGGGCTATCATGTGGGAAAATGAACTAGGCTTGTTTTATTTGGTGTCAAAGGGTAGAACCAGGGGCAATGGGAGAAAGTTAAAAAGAAGACAATTTAGGTTCAATGTTAGGAAAAACTTGTCAGCAATTAGAGCCATCAAAAAGTGGAAAAGGCTGCCTAGAGGGATATTGGTTTCTCCCTCCTTAAAGATCTTAGAGCAGAGAGGCTAGACAATCACTTCTTGGATATGTTATAGTAGGCATTCCTTTTGTATATGAACTAGACAAGATGGCAACTAACAATCCTTCCAACTCTTAAATCCTATGACTCTAATAATACATTTATTATGTGATATTATGTATTATAATTTTCTAGGTTTCTGTCTTATCCCTCTACTAAACTATAAAGTTCATGAGGGCAGGGATTATGTTTTATCTCAATTTTGTACTTACACCTACCTCACTGCTGAGAATGACGCTCTAATCAGAGTTGGCCCTTACACATTTATTGGTTGTTGATGACTCTGTGTATATCTTATATATTATACATACACACATCCCCACACCTTACCACAAACACATGCTTTCATAAACAATAAGTCTTTTCATAATACTAAAATATTAAAAATCCCCTGCCTCTGAGATCAGATTCTACTCATTTAGAGCTGCTTAGCTCTGATCTGTACCTGATCCAAGCTATAAGAATCGGAGGTGTATGACTTTACTTTGCTGTAAAAGAGCTCGGGTACCTTTAAATGTAGCAAATTAAAAACACAACACACATCCACTATTCATATCACCTACTCAGTTCCTTTAAATGTTTCCAGTATACCACCTATTGAAAACTATTTATGTGGCCACAAGTTAATACTAAAAGTTCATTCATGATTTTCTCAGACTCAATTAATTTAATGTTCCACTTTTCCTATCGAACTAATAATAAAGATAACAAAGTGCAGGATAGATGTATCTGATGATGGTAAATGCACAATTTTTCAGGAGTATAGAAAAATACCTTTAAAAATAAACTTTTCAAATAGTTGTGGCAAAGTAACACACCAGCAGCTAATTTCATTTTACTCATTCATTTTATTTATTAGTAACCATCATGAATAGGTTACCATTATTTCTTCTAATACTGGTGACTTACATTATTTTTGACACATCAATCAAATGGCCTCCCTTGCCCAACCAACTGCAATCCAATAATACTTTCCCATCAAAATAATGAAGCAAAATCAAATAGGGAGTTTTTAATCAACAGTACATTCATTTTACCTTAAAACAAAACAAAACAAAAAAAGAAACCAACTATGGAGTAACTAAAAAAGGGACTATAGATTATTCTGGCTTCAAAAGTACAGGTCTAACAGTAGGGAAAAAATAACATTCTATTTGCTGTATTTATTCAGTACTAAACGCTACTTTATTTTTATATAAAGCTGTAATTCTAAGTAGTCTAAGTGTAGTGTGAAAATATGCACTAGTCCATGTGCCTTTGGGTCAAGGAAAAATTGGGAAAGGCGGAACTCAGGGCTTCTTAAACAGGGGTTACGATCTTGTTTTCTTTTTTTTTTATATTTCGCTAACTGCATTTCAATATAATTTATTTCCTTCATAATCCTATGTATTTTACTTCATGCTTTTTAAACATTATTCTGAGGTGGAGTCCACAGAATCACCAGACTGTGAAGGGGGGAAAGGGGGTCGTCCATGATACAAGTTAAGAATCCGTGGCCTAACAGAAGTTAAGCTATGCACCTAAAATATGGTTCTATATTCTGCTTCATTTTTCAAAGCCATTTTAGTTTGGTTTTCTTTTATATGTTTTTTGGGAAGGATATCAGACTATAATTGTTAGGTATGTATTATTAGGGTTTGATAAATATTTACTTTATAGAACAGGCTTCGGGCAGGGACTTATTTTCTATTAGTCCACTACTATAAGAAATAAAAAGTAGATACAACTGCTATGGGAAAAAAGTGATATCACTGATTATTAATCAATCAGTCAATCAATCAATCAAAAAGTCATTATTACATGCTATGTGCCAGGCACTGTGATAAGCACTGGAGATACAAAGGTAAGATAAAAGAATTCCCTGATGAAATATGAATATTAACACTGAATATTTTTAAGTCAAAGATCTTCTGAGAATTGAGTATTTGAAAAATACAACACATGCAAACCTATATGAATACACATGAAAAATCCTACTTCTACAATCTATGAGACTCACCTGGTCATGATCAATATCGGCATCTCCTGTGATGACAATTCGTTTCTCAATTCTTGTTTCAGACACTCCGCCTTTCACTGTCTAAAGTCATAAGGGAAAATAAATTAGAATAAAGTCACTAAATATATATACATATATATATATATATTTCTATTTAATCAAAAATATGAGAACGGGATTCAGCACAGTATTACTGGGCAACTAAACCTTTTTGGGAGAATGAAGCTAATGGTGGTTTATGTTTGAATTTATTAGAGAGTACTGTTGCACCCAAAGATGGAATAAGTTTCCAAGTGAAATGGGCCTTAAGATGTACTTGTCCAGAATCAGATGAAGTTAGAATAAACATATAAACTAGGCTGCTGTTTTTGTTGCTGATTTGTTTGCAAATTTTGGCTTGGTATGAGATTTGGTTTAAAAAAAAAAAAACATTGGAGTTTGGCTGGGATTCAGCAAATTAGTCACTTTGGTTTTTAAAACATTTTATTTACTCCAATTCATTTTTTAAGTGATGTGGATCAACATATGGATGGACAGGGGGGTAGAGAGGGCAGGAGAGGGGAGAAGACACTCACATGTTTCCATGTCTTATTAAGTTCACAGGGTATGTCACAGGGTATGTCTCTAGAGATTTTGTTAATCTACTTACTGCAACACAGTGTGTGATATTTTATTACAGGCAAGAAAACTCCATCTCACACAGCCCTTTCAAAGGCAAACAAACATTTAAGTGTCTGTAAATCTCTGAGTCAGATTCCTGAAACCACAAGGGGCAGTGTTTTTAAGGACTCTGGTGCATGGGATAACATGAGACTCAAAAGTGGTTTCTTTTTAAAAATGACAGACCTAGCAAATGTGCCAAGAGGCAAGGAAAAATGGCCAAGAATATTTCAGAATATTAAAAAAACACTAGCATCACTGATATGGAAAAATGAATAGAAAAAAAGGGGGCTGGAAAATAACTCTTAGGAAGAAATTTTTTTAGTACATGGTTTTATCAGATGATCACAGTGGTAGTTAAACCAAAATGACTTGACCAAAAATACATGATTTTAAACATTTTTATGGTAATATTTTCAGTCCCTGTCCTTCTAAAGATACTTGGGAGACTAAGCTATACTTACAAAGTCTACAGTGCCACATTTTTCTCATCTAAATACTAAACAAAAAACTCTTTAATTATCTTCACCCTCTGACTTTGATTACATTGAATTGAAAAGGTTTTGCACAAACAAACCCAATGCAACCAAGATTAAAAGGGAAGCAGAAAGCTGGGAAACAATTTAGCCAGCGTCTCTGATAAAGGCCTCATTTCTAAAATATATAGAGAACTGAGTCAAATTTATAAGAATACAAGTCATTTCCCAATTGATAAATGATCAAAAGATACGAATAGGCAGTTTTCAGAGGATGAAGTTAAAGCTAACTATAGTCATATGAAAAAATGCTCTAAATCACTACCGATTAGAGAAATGGAAATCAAAACAACTCTGAGGTACCACATCATACCTATCAGATTGGCTAACATGACAAAACAGGAAAATGGTAAATGCTGGAGATGTGGGAAAATTGGAAAACTAATAATGCATTGCTGGTGGAGTTGTGAACTGATCCAACCATTCTGGATGGCAATTTGGAACTATGCCCAAAGGACTATAAAACTGTGCATACCCTTTGACCCAACAATACCATTTCTAGGGCTGTATCCCAAAAAGATCATACAAATGGGAAAAGGACCCACATGTATAAAAATGTTTATAGCAGCTCTTTTTGTGGTGGCCAAGAATTGGAAATCGAGGGGATGCCTAGCAACTGGGTAATGGCTGAACAAGTTGTGGTATATGAATGCAATGGAATACTATTGTGCTATAAGAAATGATGAGCAGGCATACTTCAGAGAAGCCTGGAAAGACGTGCATGAACTGATGCTGAGTAAAATGAGCAGGACCAGAAGAACACTGCACACATTAACAGCCACATTGTGGGATGACTGACTTTGATAGACTTAGCTCTTCTCAGCAATGCAAGGATATAAGACGATTCCAAAAGACACACAATGGAAAATGCTATCCACATCCAGAGAAAGAACTATGGAGTCTGAATGCAGATGGAAGCGTACTATTTGCTCTTTTTTCCTTTGTTTCCTTTCTTCTTTCTCGTGGTTCTTCCTATTTAGTTCTAATTCTTCTTTACATCATGACTAATGTGAAAATATGCTTAATATGGATGTATAAGTAGAGTCTATATCAGATTGCACATTGTCTTGGGAAGGGGGAAGGAAAAGGAGGTGGAGAAAATTTAAAACTCAAAATCTTACGGGAGTGAATGTTGAAAACTGAAAATAAATTAATTATTAAAAAAAATCTTCATCCTCTCACATTTTCAGGATGACTATCTATGTGACATAGATGAATTTGACTTCAAAACCTGAATTCTTAGGTGATGGAAGTGAAATTATGGTATTTTCACTCTTCTTAGCACTATCACTTTGAAGTTGCATAGTAGGAGGGTGGGAAGAGGAAAAAAAGTACAATTCAAAAGAGGTGAATTATTATGAAAGGACCATCTTTTTAATTACTTTAATTTTAATTACTTTACCTTGGTGATATGTGTGGTTGTAGTTGTAGACACGGATTCAGAAGTGATGGTTTGTGCTGTCAATAATGTGCCAGCATCACCACCAGCACCGCCATCAATCTTTAAATGGTTTAGGGAAAAAATAAAAAGTAATATTTAACTTTGAGTATTAGTTGTGAGGAAAAGAACCCTCCCCACTGAACAAGTAGCTTTGAATATCGTTTTGTTGCCAATATATAAAAGTCTATAGAAATAAATGTGCTTATACATGGTCATTTGTATAGGGTAAGCCATTGGCCAGGAGACTGTCTGTGAAGGAAAGGTAAAACAGAAAGACGATTAGTAAGAGAACCTATAGGTAAGGAATCAAAACAGTGAGAGAGATGTGAAGGATTGGGGGAACCAGTTATTCCCAGTCTCAGTTTTCCCCATTAGTAAAACGAAGGGGTGACATCTGAGGTCCCTTCCACTTCTAGCTAGCTAGTCCTATGGTCCCAGGATACAAAGGTAGGTTTGTGGCTGAAAGATGGAGGAATACTTGAGGCCAGAAAACCATCTCACTTGAGCTGATGGAAAGAAACTGCAGAAATTAAATTAAAAGGTTTATTACGTGACCAGGAGAGAATAGAGTACTTGCACTAGATGGAACTTAAAAGAAAAGACCTCTTAAATAGAGAAGGATAGCAATGGGCTGATCTCAAATGATAGGTGATCTAGAAAAATAACTAAAAACAAACAAACAAACAAAAAAACCCTCCCAATACTACAAGACTTGACTCTTAGCTGTCTTCTATGATGGCATTTTGTGCCTGTATCACTATCTCTACATCTATATAGTTAATAGTATAATAATTTTCACTTAAGTAGCAATTCAGTACACAAGCTAGCTGTCTATACCTTATAATAGTGGTTCTTGAACTTTGATCTCAGGGGCCCTTAAAAATTACTGAGGACCCCAAAGAGCTTTTGTTTATGTGGGTAATTATCTAATGATATTTATCATGTTAGAAATTAAAATATAAATTTGTAAAATATTTACTCATTCTTTTAAGAATAACAATAAAAAACATATAACATGACACCATAATGTTTTTTATGAAAAATAACTATTTTCCAAAATAAAAAAAAATAGTGGAGTATCATTATTTTACTACATATTTCTTGCAAATCTCTTTAAGGTCTAATTGGTTAGAAGATAGCTGTTTTATTATATTATGTTCGAAGCCTATAAAGAAAATCTGGCCTCATACAGATATATAGTTGGAAAAGGAAAGGGTATTTTAATAAGCAAACAATATCTTAGTACTGTTATGAAAGTAGTTTTGACTTCATGGAGCTCTTGAAGGGTCTTGGGGACCTTCCCAGAGGTCCACAGATCTCACTTTGAAGACCTCTGCCTTAGAGCAATAAGGAGAAATAGGAGACATATAGGTGAGAGGGCTGCCCACCTTGGGCAGAGGTATTTGTAATGACAGGGAAGGAAAGCCAATCTGAAGTCTGGTGATTCATCCCACTTAGTAAGCTTCATTTTACTAAATTCAACTGATTTAGTATCAACTAAACGTAATCAACTGTCTAATTCTCAGACACTCACGAAAACACAAGAATCAATACCAGGGAAAAAACTGAAGAAGACTGAAAGGGCTAAAATCCTTCACAAGTGAAATGGGTTGAATGTAGAAACACAATGTGACAAAGCAAACTTTTTTCATGATAACTCTCAGAAAAACAACCTCTTTGTATTACTTCCCCTCTCTCTCTACTCAAACAGAAATATCTTCTTAAAACTTACCTAGTTTTGTTTCTGTAGTATGTAAGGTTAATATCAAATATATGCCTATATCATCTTTTTTTTGGGGGGGGGGGTGAGGCAATTGAGGTTAAGTGACTTGCCCAGGGTCACACAGCTAGTAAGTTTCAAGTGTCTGAGGCTGGATTTGACCTCAGGTCCTCCTGACTCCAAGGCCAGAGCTCTATCTATTGCGCCACCTAGCTGCCCTGCAATAATATCATTTTGAAAACTATATACTTAGGACAACCATATACACTAAGCAATGCACAAGAGTATAACTGATCATACAAAATAATTAATGCCTGTCTCAGAAATTTAAAACTTCTTACAGAGTCAAATCATTATTTGACATACTTTAAATAGTGATATTCCGAAATACTCAATGCTTCCTGCATATTTGGTATCTCTGGAGGGAAGTTACATTTACACTTTATTTCTAATATTTTCATGAATACTGCCTGAAGAAACACCTAAAGTTTAAAAAACACATGCTTGGCAAACTATAGATGGACATAGTAATATGTTTCAAATTAAAGAAAGTCTTATATACTCTAGCACCAGATCAAAATGTAATTGGGAAGTGTTTAAAAATAAACTGATGATTAAAAAATAAATTGAAACACAGATAACATTAAATTTGTAGTTTTCTAAATCAATATTGGCCCACAGGAATGCATTTCTATTTGAGTTTGACACCTAGCTGCCTCATTAAAGGGAAGGTACCAAAAGATACCTCAACTTCAGGGACATGTAAACCATCAGAAAAAGCAGAGAAAAATAAGACAAAATAAAGTATCAAAAATTAACATATTTGCCCACTCCTGTATACCCTCAAAATCTTACTGCCTTTTTTTTTTTTTGGTTACCTGTGGAGATTCATAAGTGATGGTTTTGGTCTCTGTTTGGACAATTGGGACTTCCTTGGTGGAGATCTCTGTTCTTTGTGAAGCATCAGAAATAGTTACCATCTCTGTTTTTACCACTGGTGGCTGAAGTGGAAAAAGGAAGGAAACATTAAATTCTAATGATAATTAGGTAAAGCTGTTTAGTGGAGCCGTCAAAATAGCCATAAAAAAACATCCACACATGCATTCACACACAAGAGAAAAAAGAATCAGCAGGAAAAGCATTTAAAGCAAATCATCTTTCCCAATACAGCAAGAAATAAAATAGGAATGAGGGAGAGGAAAAACAAAAACAAAAAGAAGTGGTTTGACATCTCTCATCTAATCTACTATTCTGAGAACACATTTCGCAATCAGGTAGGTGTCAAACCTATCACACCTTGATTCACCCTACAGGCTTTTAAGCAAGTAACAGCAGAATGCAAGAACCTATGCAGAATGAAGTCCACAACAGTTGACTATAGCTCTCTAAGTTGACTGCTTTTTAGAAGTCAACATGGCAGACGACAAAGATTTCAGTTTGTATCACAGTTTGCATAAAGGTACATTCACGTGCAGATGATGTAGAGGCTCAGGTGGATTTGTTTGCTCTTTCCTCATATTCTTCTTATCATTCCCACATATAAAGGGTACAGTGAGGAAAATGTTGTTTTCTTGAGAATTAACCACAAAGTCCTTTGTTTAAAGGAAAAAAAAGCTGTGTTTTCTCAACATCAGAACAATTAAATTTTAAATGGGATCAGAAGAAAGCTACTATATCCATTTTGCGGTGGCGTAGCTAGAATTCTTCCCCAGAGCGCTTTAAAATGGCCCCATGAGCTGGTATAATTTTAGCCTGTTAAGCTTGCGTCAGACTCAGCTCTGGATCTGCAGTGGCAATGTATTCTTGAAAATAAATTAAAACAGCAGCACTATTAATTCTTGGAAATCACATTCCCAAAGGCCTATCCGGTTTTGTTTAAATGTTAACAACTACATATTAAAAGCAAACAATAATAATAATAATGCCACAAAATAAAATCACAGGCTCTCAAAATGCACGTTCATGAGATAAAAATATAGCCTAAAAAAGTAAATAGCACACAAATCCTCATTAAAATTTCAATATACAGTCAATTGAGGATTATATGCCCTAACAAAGAGAGGGTATGTTTATAAATATCTAAGGAAAAAAATCTAAACATCTTGTTAACTCAGCTCTGGATGCAGAGATAGACAGTCTGCACAGTCAATAGTCTCCTCTAACCACAAAACAATTTGGACCACCAAGGCAGGATTACTGGAAGTCCAGGAAGTAGTTCATGACAATGGGGGAGAAAAGGGAAAGGCACAGATATGCTGTGGATAATCCATAAAACATTTAACCTTGCTTCAAATAATCCATAATTGACCATATAACATTTAAGGGTGAGGGAGGGGTCTCTCATTTAACAGGCTTTCTGGTTGCTCTGAGGGCTGGAAGGAGGTTTTTAGACAAACCACACAATCCATAAACCTTCAAAACACAAACACCACAATGACATCCCAAAAGCAGTGCTTTGAAACTGCCAGGAGATGCTACCAGAGTATGGCAGTAATAGGAATGGGTGACCTCCTTAACACTGTTTCACCTGGATAATCTCTTCCCGGCTCCGTTCCACTGATAATGCTGTACTTCTCTGGGAGATGAAAGACAGAGAGATCTGACACTGAGCTGAAGACTGAGAAAAAGTTTAGTTGTAAAGATCAAACCCAACAACAAGAACATGAAAACACAACCACTCACCCTTTGGACCACATTTCTCAACATTCGAACAAAGTTTAATTTTCTTGCAGAAGCAATAAAAAGGGACATTTAGTGTCAAAAATCAGCAGAGACTAAAGACAAGACATATTTGGAAATGTTTAGAACATGCAAAGAAAAATTTAAATGTGAAATAGGAAGGAAAAGAAAAATAAAGGGCATGATATGGTGGCTGTAGCAAAGTTTGCCCTACCAGATGATCCAGTTGCAGCAAAGAAGCTAGAAACCATGAATTAAGCTGGTAGAAATTCCCTGCTCATCAGTGGCTTCTCCCTTCCATTAGAGAGAGAAGGATCTGAATCTTGCTGAAATCCCTAAACAAAAACTGGGAGGACAGGAGGAAAAAGAAAGGCAGGTGCTTTCGACCTGGTAAACAGCACTATAATTTTTGGCACTCCCATTTACCTCTGAACAACAAATTATTTCTGGCAAAACATCAATGTCAACATGAGGCACCTCTCCGTTTACTTTGTGATGTTCTTCCTCAGTTTCTTCTCTCATGTCTTGTTCATATCCTTCTTTTAAACTCTTCTCCCCAGTGACCTTTTGGGAAATTACATTTTCCTGGACCACGGTTTCTACTGTGATTTGCTTTACTGAGCTGGCTTCTGGCACTGCTTCCACACACTGTACTACCTTTGACGCTCGCTCTTCTTTCTCCTCCTCTACGTCTTCTTCGTTTTCCTCCTGCTCTTCCCGGATGGTACCCTCAGTCACCCGGTGGTGGGGTCGGTACTCTCCCACATCTTCTTCCTCACTTTCACTGCTGCTGCTGCTGCTGTTCTCTGAAGACAGGGAGGGGGAATCTTTGTGTGTCAAGGGCTCCACCTTACAAGTCTCCCCAGGATCACTCCCGGGTGGTACTCTGTCTCTACCGTTCACGCCTTCTGTGATTACTCTCTCTTCTTTCCCAACCTCTGCCTGCTTCTTCACCTCCACTACATTCAGAGTCTCATGTGAACTCTGTACAAAAAAAAATGGATGAGGAAAAACAAAAAATATATGAATAAACCAAAAAAAAGGGGGGGGGGGGATGAATACAAAAATCAACTGACGGCAGGTTCATGTCATGGAGAAAAACAAGGATGATTGTGATGGGCTGACTGAAAGGGAAGAGGGGGAAAATGTGAGGGTGATCAGACATGGCAGGTAATGGAAATTAACATGGAAAAATAGGAGAACCTTAACAGCATCGTTGGCTCCAGAACAAGGCCCTTCTGATGTGGGAGCACGTTTCTGTGGAACAAAAAGCAACCAAGGACACAAAATCAATAATGTTTTACCTTAACACCCACCAAAACACACATGACACAACAAAGGCAGAACAGAAAGAAACACCTTCAGGAACCCTTTGCTCTTATCACAAAACTAGTCAATACAAGCACTAAAACCTAAAACCCTACTCACTGACCACGCCCCTGCCCCTCAAAAAACAAACAAAACAAAACAAAAAACCAGGCAAAGCCCTTTTCAATCCTACAAGGACATCCCATCACCTCTACCATTTTAAGCTGAAGAATCAACATTGAAATCCTACCAAAGTCAACTAATCTGTGAGAGTAACAGCTTCGTGATTTCTCTAAACTATTCTAGAAACAATCTTATGGTATTTCTTTGGACTAGAAAAACCCTCACCTCAAGAATCCTGACCTAAATTAATGTAATGTCAAGGAAATGCTATCTTATTTGCAGACTGTTTAAAATAAAAGGGGATTAAATTCCACATCTGGCTATTAATTCATACAGACTTCAGTGGAGACTAGCAAAAAGGAACCCTAGAAAGTTTAGGCTGAACGATAATGTTCTAATGCAGGTATCTACCTAAATTAAACAACTTTTAGTGTTTCATATACACTCCCCAAAGGCTTTAAATAGTCTTTAAGGCTAACTACAATTTACTCTAGGTGGGTGATAATCAAGATATCTAACAGGTGCTTAAAAATAAAAACGTAATTATTTCACTACTGTCATCACTACAATAACATGTATATGGCATGCTATAATAAACTTTTATTTTGGGAATTTTTTTCCCCTAAAGAGTTTTCATCTTTTAAAAAATTCAATTGCAAGGTAACATGCTCAACTCAGCAGGGTGGAAGGGCCACAGTTTCATTTCTCAAGGCAAAGAAATTTACATTAGGAAGAAGAGAGGTTGCTATGACACAGGTGAAGGAAATACCACCATTGGAAAATGCTTTCCTTTCCCAAGATGGCTCCCAAACACCTGTCAAGGGGAATAGAACCATATCCTACACCCAAATACCCACTCTTCTCCATCTTTTTTTTTTCATATCATAGTTATTAATACTATTTCTCCTGAACGGAATATATTTCAGTAATAAAAACCCACTCCCCTCCTCCCCACCTAGTGAATCTTCAAAAATCTTATTCCTTCACATGTGGCTTTAAAGAACAGGAGAGGGAGGAAAAAAAGCAAAATGCACCTCAGGCAACTGTGAGAAGGGCGAGGAAGAAAGCATTTCAGAAGGTACACTATAATTCACAACAGAGCCCTCTGCTGTCCGAATGCTGGTTGATGTGAAGGTGGCTTTCATGCTAGCAGAAAAGCCCTCTTTACTAAATAAAATTGATGTTATCTCCTCTTCTAGGCTCTAGACAGTCAGAAAAGGGAAAGCAAAGAATTAACAATGAAAAGAGGATACAGACAACAGTGACCTATGAAAGGAAAGGTTACACAAGACAGGAAACAAAAAGAACAGTATAAAACAGAAAGAAAGAAGTTCTCATTCTGAGAGGGTTTTCTGGGCCTTATCATGTCACTCCCCTGCTTGACAGCCATGGATGGCTCTCTATTGCCTGTAGGATAAAGGGCACTAGGTCCCAATTTGAACACTCCCTCAGGCTAGATTCCTGTCTGACCCCCAAATATTCCAAGTTCACTTTAAGTTGATATTCAGTAAATGTTTTGAGTAAGTTAATATTGAAAAGAACCACTGAGAACCCAAATGGAAAACACCCCCTGAAGAATCAGAAAACATGGCCCAATATGCAATGGAAACTGTTACAAAAAAAAAAAGTGCCTCTGAAAAGGAAATGACACATGGATTAATCACACTTCAAATTCTTGGGCATAAATGCCCAAGGTCATTAAGTGGCTTGCCCCAGATCACAAAGGTAGGTATCACAAGTATGATGTGAACCCAAGTCTTTAGACTCCAGGGACAATGCTCTTTCCACTGTATTATACAGCCGACACTATTAAATTAGCTTTGCAGGTAGAGGATGAAAACCCAGCAAGAGGAAGAACAAGAAAATGAGAAGCACCTTAGAGAAATAATAAAATATTACATTTGCCTAGCACTGCATAATTTGTAGCATGCTTTTCTTGCAATAAGTCTCTGAGGTGGATGTTGCAAGTATCGCATCCATCCCATTTTTAGAGATGGACAAAGTGAGGCTGCAAAACATTTAGACTGTTTTCCCAGAGCTGGTGTCAGAGCCAGAACTAGATCTTAGGTTTCTAAATTACATCTCTAATGCTCTTTCACCTGCATTCTACTAAAGAATGTTGAGCAAAGTGTATAAGAATGGGTGGGTTTCAGACTAAAAACCATACAACAATGGTGAAAAAAATTATTTAATTTCTGAGAGGAAATTGGAAAAAAAGTTCAATTTTTGTTAGAAAGAACAAGGATGGAGGTTTTAAATGTCTACATCCTAACTCCATATTTTGTATAGTCAAAGAGAAAGAGATATGACTTCTAAGTAGGATGCCGGAAATTAACTAACCCCTGCTCAATCTAGAAAAAAAAAAAAATTTTGTTCCTCCTTTTTCCATTTCACTTGATTATAATGTCCATTATTAAAGATGCCACTGTGAAAGTCTTTTGATCTCATTAAAATTGGGCTAACCCTCTTTGTATATGAAGATTAAGTTAGGCTAAGAGAATGTGAGAACTGTGACTTAGACACCTATTATTAGAATCCCTAATTTTATGGATGAGGAAACTGAGGTAACTCTTTCCCTTCCCCTCCACCTCTCAGTGAAGTAACTTGTTCTCAAAGTTGCTGATTCACTATTAGTCAGCTTGCCATGTGTTCTGAGTTCTTTCTGATGGAATTACGTTAATGCCTGCCCTGAATTACGAATGCATTCTGTGGAAGAAGAACAGGTAACTAGTTTATTGAGGGATATAAAACCCATGAGAATTAAATCTGGGACCCTGTGCTCATTAGCAGTGTTCTAACCAAGTGAGCTAATCAGTTCTAGAGAAAATGCCTTTCTACAAAATACTCCCTTTTTCCAAACCTAAGTTACTCCTTGGCAAAGGGGGTAATTACACGTGTCCCCTCAAATAAACTAAATTTTCTAAGAGCAAGACCATGCTGTTTCTTTCACATCCTTCCATTGGGCGCTCTGTACATGGCAGACACAAAAAGTACATGGTAGAACAACAGTAACTGCTCTCAAACAAAGTAAACATTTGCTCTGCAATACATAGGACACACAAAAAAACACTCAAGAAATAAGGAAAAGGAAAGTGAGAGAATTCTAACTTGCCAACCAGCACTGCGGGTCCTTTCAAAAAGTAGAGGTGCCATCACTGGGCTGCACAGGTGTTTGATGGGCGGCCATAGTGTATCACTACCTTTTTTTAGCTTAATGAAAAGTCAGCCCCAGTGTAGTTCTAATTTTAAATACAGTCACATCTTTTAGCATCCACAATTGCCACTTTGACAATTTCAATGCAATGCTTGGAAGTGCTATACAAACACCAGGCATTTTCAATAGCAGTCATGCTTTTTCCAAGGGCCAGTCACTTCACCCAATTCCAGGGATTGCCTTGGATTCCATGTTGGATGACAGCTACTTATGCATTCAATGCATAAGTCGTGATTTAAAAAAAAATAATAATCCCAAAGAGCACTGTTGTTTAAATGACATGTGTTTGCTCCAGCAGCTATCAAAATAAACTTTGTAAATGCAAAAACTGGAAAAAAAAAAAAAACCCTATCCCAAGGTGGTTCCAAAAAAAAAAAAAGTTCACAGAAGCAGAAAAGGGCTTCCAATAGCTCAGAAAAAGAAAAGGGAAAAAAGCAAGGGTAGATACAAGGATGCAAGGTGAACACCTTGTCTGTCTCCTGAGCTTTTTCTTCAACAATCGGGGCTGCTGGGATCTGCTGCTTCTCCTTCACAGGCAAAATATCCATTTTGAAAAGGTGATCTTTTCTCTATTATTTTAAACATTGAACATAATTAACACATAACACAAATACAAAATACCTATAACAACATAGACACGAAACAATCTTGTAGGTCAATAGAACAAATAGTTCAGGGAGATGAGACAGTGGGCTTCTGAGGAATCTTCCACCCTTCTTAATCCAACATACAAGCATATCATCACATCATACATTTATACGTTACAAGAGACATCCATCCTGTTGTAAAACAATGAACTCATTTTATCAACAATTTCAGTGTACCTGAAAGGAAGAATATAACAGTCATAGATAACAATCCTAAGCAGCCACCTATGTGCCTTAAAACTTAATTAAAACCTCAAAGAAATTCAGATATAAAAATGGAGTATTATTGTTCAACTCTTTTTATTAATTGATCTGTAAGCTTAAATGAATTTTTCTTTTAACCTCTCATAAGCTTCTGATTGCATAGTTCATATACTTTTTGACTTTTAAGATACGGAAATAACAAAAATGACATTTTAATACCTGGACCATAACTGGTTGTAATTTTGTAAATTGCAATCTGAATCAAGACATACTGCAATTAATTCACTAGAGAATTTGAGTTTGGGGGAGAGGAGACTATAGTTACACCTTTTTCTTTTTCAAACAGGAAAAAAAAAAAACAGAACTAGTAGCATAATAAATCATTGCCTCCCCAAGTGTAATACCTATGCCCATGAAGGTTATTTGTGAATAATAACACAATGGTTGTCCAGTCCAGGAGTCAGAACAAATGGAGGCCCATTTTTTCATTCCAAAAACATTTATTAAGCCCTTACGTTGTGCACTAGTATAGTTCCTGGGCATACAATGAAAAAAAAAAAGAAATGGTCTCTGCACTCAATGGGCTCACGTTATATCGAAACAAAAGAGAAACAAAATAAAGAGTATTCTAAAAAAAAAATTCTTATTTTGGTAATGAGGACAAAAGAATGAGCAAAGTATATTAAGATAACCTTGGCAGAAAATGTTTTAAAAGTCGTCACTTTCAAGATATAGATAGATACAGAGTTGTATGCATTTCATTATTTCTGTTAGCTTAAGAGATATTCAATAGAGATATTCAAATTCCTATGAGTTTTCATTTTCTAATTTATTTTATTCTAATTTTCATAAAAATTAGAAATTTCTTATTTACTATCTTTAACTATTAAACAAACTTCTTACTGTAACCACGCTCATACTTAAACCCTCAATACTCATTGAAATATATTGTTGTAGTCTTTAATTCATGCTTCAATGGTTTTGGATAAACTGTGTTACAACTAATCGAACTTGAAAAAAAAATTGCTCTATCTCTTCTCACATTCATATCTAAGAATGGGTCTGTGACTGTAATAAATTGTTAACATATATTTAGTTTTTAAGAAATTGTTAGAACAACTTAAAAAATTGAAAGGGAAACATTTCATACCTTCCTGATGGAGATTTCAACATAGCAGGCCAGAAGTTTAATTTTACTGAACGGCCCAAACAAAACACATGCTCACAAATATCTAGTGACATACCCCTTGTGTCTGTTGGGACAAAGGTGTGATACGCCGCTTTTCCCACTCATTGGGGCGTGGTTCAGGTGTGGATTCCATAAAATGGCGCTTGAGTTCACTAATGCTAGCCTGATGTTTCAGTATGTCGTCCTGGGTCTTATCCAGGTCCTAGCAATGTGCAACGTAAAAAAAAGAAAAAAGAAAAAAAATCCAAAGGGACAAAAACAAAAGAAAAAGCCCAGTAGGAAAAATAAAAACAAAAACACAACAAAGCAAATTTATATAATTGAAAAAATAAAAACAAGAAAAATGCCAAGTCTCAAAAGCCATCTTGCTGTTCATAAATTACCATTTGTCAAAATTTGAAAAAGCAGCTAATTTTCTTGTCCCCATTCATATTTAAGATGGTTCTAATTTTCCTTTCTTCCCCCATCTTTGCATTCTAAGAAACTATAGTGACGTCTGGATTACTTATGCTAAAAAGTGTGAGTATCTCAAAAGAGCTAACTGAATTGGAATGAATCATGATTCCCCTTTCTTCCTTCCTCTTTCCAACCGTAATAATTTGCTTTTGGCTAATTTCAAAATTCATATGAATTTCCCAATCATATAGTGGGAGGTTAGGTAGAGAAGCGTACTTGGCTTGAGGGATGGTGCCAAGTTTAAAAAATGACAATTAAAAATAAAGATAACCAAGAGTTGACTGCATTTAGGCAGTCTGCAAATTCCAGACTGCTTCTAATACCTTAAGGAACAACAACTATGAAAGTAGCTGCTGCCAGGGGATATAGTTACCCTTTGCTTAGGGATCTGCCTAAAAGCAAACATACCCTGGTTAAAAAGTATACAAGCAGTATTGTGTCACAATCACACGTTACCAAGTGTGACTTATGCACAGGCCAGGGAGAAGCAAAAACTGAGCTACTCCAGTTTGACAGCTGCTCATTCTGAGAACAGCAAATCCTACTTATGGGAGTAAATAGTACCTATTAAGCAAAATGCTTTTAGGTTAGCTTTAAGAGTGGTTCTAAAATTTCAAAATTCAAGGAGCAAATTGTATTCTTTCATGTCTTTAGTCCCTCTCCCTGATACAGAGGGGCAAACCGTCATGCATCTCCCAAAATTAGCTATTCCACATTCATGCACAAGCACAGTAGCTGTTTGAGGGACTCATATCACTATTTTTAAAAAATAGAAAACCAAAACCAAAAACAAAAACTAACACCTTTGCATGGCACGGAAAAATTACTGTGGCTTGAGATCAGGCACATTTCTTGGATTTCTTCAAAGCAATGTTATGCATTACACTTTGCAAGATTTTAGTAAGTTATGCAAAAATACATCTCTAGCAATTATCAAAGCTGCCAAAAAGCAACCAAAGAGATTAGTCAGATTACTTCAATTTGCAAACCTCTTATATACATATCACATACTCTGTCTTAAATATGAAGGGAAAAAAATTTTAAGTTCTGCTGTGACACAGGGAATTCAACAGGGGCCCCTGCAAGATGAGTAAGTTCTTTGTTTTTTAATCAATAAAATCTTATCAGTTATCATGACTTCAAAGAAAATGTCTGAATAAATATTTATGTTCCCAATTTCAATTTCTATACCAAAGGTGTGGACAAAGATCAATCAGTTAAATGGTAAAGTGATGAATTTTCAAATATCTTAGCATACTGATGGGAACAGAGAGTAAAAAGAAGACACCTTAAAATCTATATCCAGAGCTCTGTAGAGAGGTAAGTAGGTTTATTTACAAACCCACATCCTATTTTAAAAGGCTGGTTGATCAAATTTTCACTTGTTGATATTTTTTCCCAGTTGCCACTTCAAGAACTTCCAAAAGATACATTCTTAGAAACTACTATAAGAGAACCAGATTGACACCATGCACTCCCCAGTTGCACTTCCCCATGCATTTCATGCACCGTGCTCATAAAGGACTGCCAGCCAGCCTGCAGTGACCTCCCATCCTTAGCAGCCTGGCAGCCATGAAAACAGAATGGGTTTCTTAGATTATACAAACCTCCAACATTAAATTGCTATGTCTGACATAAATATTTTCCCCTTCTACTCTCAAGGAATTCTTCTGTGAAATTAAATCACACACAGAGGGGGGGGAAAGGCAAATATAAACATAAATGTATCAACAAGCACCAGAAATGAGCCAGAGTTTGATAATCTGAGACTTTAAAATTAAATGAGAGCAAAAACCAAAGCCACCACTCAATCCAAGCTCACAAATAACCTCTGCAAGCGCCTCCCAGACAATAACGACGGCAAGCAGCAACAATTAGAGGCTTAATTTTAGGAAGGGGGAAAAACAAAAAGCATCCGCCACCTCCAGCTGTGCTTCCTCTTCTTCAGGACCCGCCTAAAAGGGCACACAGCAAATGACCAGGAAAAAGTGAAGTATTAGTGCGACTTCCAAATCAATACAAGTGAGTTCTGGTGAAGGTTAAAATACCCAGTGCTAACTTTACCAACCTGGATCGTTTCAGTCTCAGAAGCAGCTGTAAACCTTAAGCCACTCTGGCCTTCCTTCACCTACCGTGGTGGTACAAATGGTTGAAGTAATCTTTTGCAAGGGTGAAAGGTCAAGGTGGAAGCTCCACTGTCTTGCTCTCTCTCTTTTAGACCTCAAATCGTGTTTTATTTTTTTGAATGCCCTTCCCATAGGTGAGTGAAATTGGACAGAGTGCAAACCAGCACTGTTCATTGGACACTAGAACTGAACATTTTAATGCATGATGAAAAACCGAGGCCCAAATTAGTTAGGTGACTTGTCCAAGGTCACACAGGTGCTAAGTGGTAGAGTCTGGATTCAAACTCGGGTCTTCTGACTCCAAATCCAGCACTCTGTCCACTGCACCATAATCTTCCCTCAATCAGCTTGAATTTCAAAAGTCCAAATCAGTTAGCTAGTTAAAGAGGGAATACATAATTTGAAATTAAATTGGGATTTAGCCTTTTTCCTAGAGATAAATGTTCCATGTGTGTTGTCAAATATTTGAGAATGCTATATTTGAAAAAAGAAACAATATTTTGTACTTGCTTATTTTTTTATCTTTTCAAAAAGCTTCCAATTTTAAATAAAATGTTAGGTTATAGTTACCTTTACAAAGGACGAATAACATCATAAAAGAAAAATTGTTCATTTTGGAGGAAATAATATTAAACCTCAATAATGTCACACTTTAGGAAAATCTGAAAAATTCACTAGCTTCCCAAGAGAACGCATTTGAAAATCTTGAAATCCATGCAAACAAATGAAAAAAAAAATAAAGACTGAAAAGAGGAATAAAAGTAAAGTTCACTAGTTTTGTCATTAATGGAACAGTATATTTTCTTGCTCCATTCTCTAAGGATGCAAACATTTGCTTCATTATTATAAAATTCAGCATTTTTCAAAGGCTTACTATGTGCAGAGCACAAAGCAAAATCTAAGAGGCCTGAGTTTTAAAAAGTGAAAACTACATGGTATGCAATTACTAAACTGTGAATCAAAATGTACTGAAGTATCTCAGATTATTAAAAAAAAAACAACTCGGCTTATCTAGCTAATGTCAAATATAAAGATCATCCTGAATTTAGAAAGCACCATCTTTTGAGCTCAGAAAGATCTGCATAGCTTGTGACGTCATCACAACACTCCCAAAAGGTAAATAAAAGGTATTGTCTTTTCATACTGTAAAAACTGAGGCCCAACAACCCCCCCCCCCCCCCAAAAAATCAGGTTAAGATCTATTCCCACCTAGTTCTAAACACTTAACCACTACTATATTATTCATTCAGCTGACTTCCAACAGTACCATCTTCTTCATAGTACGCAAGACTGATTTCCAAATTATAGTATGCTGTACACATTTGCCTTTTAAGTCTATAATAAATGTTTCCAGTTTTTCATAGCCATTAAGTACTATTTGCTTATAGTAAACAATGGAATGAAGGCACTAAATTAACTAATAGCACTTATCAAAAGGAAGCACTATACGGTATTTTCTGACTCTATGGAATAGTGGTTAGCTAATTTAGAGACAATTTTAAAAAAAATTATCTGTAGACCAACAATTAGGTAATAAAAACTGGCAGATTCCTAGTACTATGAAAGAATACCAAAATGTTCCACACTATCTAAAAATACAATAGTTATAAAAAAAACTCCTATGATCCTAAAGAAAAAATAACAACATAACATTTTCCCCTCTTGGACTACCCAGTACTGAAATTTTAAGCTTCATGGAAGATTTCTGTAAAAACTTATCTGAAATCCACCACAGTCCAATAATACAAGGACTAGGAAGTTTCAAGATTATGGCTGCAATTACATCTTGCAGATTAAAGAGAAATCAATACTGTACTATAAATTTCATACTTTTTTAAAAGGCTAGGAAGGGACAGGAGGAAGGGGAGGGGGGAGTGGAGGCAATACTATAGTTACAATTACTCTTAAAGCCAAAAAGGCTAACAATATCCAACAATAGTTGAAAGGAACAAATCCAGGTGTGTTTAGCACCTGCTACTGGGGGAGAATGAGGTTGGTGGATTTCTTGAGCACAAGAGTTCTGAGTTAAAAGCCCAGCAGGTGTTCACACCAAATCTAGCACTAATATGGGTAAACTCCAGAGAGCTGTTTAGGGTGGGGAAATCTTAAGCATATCAGAGCAGATCAGAAATGGAGGAGGTCAAAGCTTCCATGACACTCAGCAGTGGGATCAAGCCCAGGAGTGGCCGCGATAGGTTTAGCTTAAGTAACATAGGGAGACCAAGTCTCAAAAAAGTAAGGAAGGTAGAGGTTGTGCAGGAGGGAAGAATGAAACTAAGAAATTCTACTAAACAAACATCAATCTACATAGCAGCTCCTTCATATAAACCAAGCTTCCTTTTTAAAGACCTAGCATTCATTGGTTGTGTCTACGTAAGAGGAGGAAGGAATAATACTTCAGGACCAACAGAGCCAATATAGATCATTCAAGCAATGGCAGGGCTTTTTGTTCTTTCTGTTGTTTTTTAATTACCAGGACTGGGTATGGGTGTACCCCCAAATTTACTAGCAAATCACATAGTATTTTACTCTGCATAGGTTGAGTAGCTATGGCTATAGGCTAGTAGTCAACATATCTCTTACATTTACTTCTCATGCACAAATACATTTACTTGTGAAAATGAATGAAGCTCTACTTTCCTGAAGGTTAGATGTGAGAGAGTTTTTAAGCAAGTTTATATTCGATGTCAGGAAGCATAACAAGATTCAGTGGGTTTTCATCAAGCTGATGAATTTCAGTCTATGTAGAAGCAATTAAACAACAGGGCTACACACCTCCTCTTCCTCTGCTTTGTCATGCAGGTCATTGTCATAAGAGGTGTTTAATGAAGTTGTCTTAGGCTCCAGGTAGCAGAGAGATAGAGCGAGAGGAAGGGAAAAGGTGAGTGAGAAAGGAACGGACTGGAAAGCAGAAAGCAGCAGCCCAAAGATGAGGAGAAAAGAAGGAATAAATGAAGGCGATGTGATAGGAACATAATGCTGTAGGTCAGCAGGGAGGAAGGAGACGCAAACCTTGGGGAGGCTGGGGAAAGTAAGGTACCCATCTTCATCAAGCAGTGAAGGGAAGTTAGTGGGAAAGCATTTGCAGAAATTGAATGAAAAGTAACCAAACTCAGTATCTTGGTAGTCAGCACCTTTAAGAGTTTTCCCATGGATTGGAGAAGGACAGCAGTGCTTAGCTGGGGAGAGGGGAATATCCAAGATAGAATCAAGGGGGGATACTTCAGTATCGCCATGCCCCGAGGTTTCACTTAGAGAATTGAATTCCAAGCTCTCTAGTGTGGTTTGATCCACCTCCCCAAAGAGGTCTTCCTCTGAAATGTCGGAAAGCACTTCCACTTCAGGGATTGGCAACAGGTTTGCAGATCGAGATGAAATACAGTGGGTGGGTGGTGATGGTGGGTATACGGAAATGGACTATTTATGGTTAAATAAAATAAAATGTATGTTTGTAGGAAAAAAGGAACACGTGGGGGGTGGGGGTGAGGGAGGAGAGAAAAAAGAAATGGATAGTTAGTGAAAACTTTTACCTAACAGAATGGAGAGTATTCCCAATAGTTAAGTTAAATCAATGACTCATTTTTTGGTTGTTTTTTAAAAGACTAACTACACTACTTTTATTATATAAAAATATTAAATGACTAATAACTTAAGTATTATTTTAGAAATGGCAACAAGAAGTTTTTGTGACTGTGAATTAGTCACTGAGTCTTACTGTAATTACTTTCAACAGATAGGTATTAATAGAGATTCAAAGCATTAGCAGAAAAGCCAGGGTTCAGAGCAGCACCGAAAGGACAAACAGGTGGGACTGTCAAACCTGAAAAGGTCCTAAAATCTAGGCCCTCCCCCCCCAAAAAAATTAGAATTCAATTCAAATTGATCCATTGTTACCAAAAAAAAAATAATAATAATAACAAGACTGACCATTTCAGAGACCTGATGATGAACCTCCCTGATTGACTGTTTTGGATTGACTGAAAGTGGTACTACCGACTTCCTAATAGACCAAAGTGGCACCCCTGTTTGACACAGTTTATGATACTTAAAAACCAAATGATTTATAAACCATGACCATTACAAATTCTTTGAAACTATAATGTGAGAAATGCATTTTTTCACTAGGAAAGCACATTTAAGCAATGTATCCTGACACTTTAGTTTCAGTAAATGACTACTCTGAAGTCTCTTCAGTCCATTCAACTTCCATCCTTAAAACACAGGTTCAGTTTTGGAAACTATATCTTTACATTTTCAGTTTGGAGAATACAACTAGTAAACTTAAGCGCTAAGTGAAAATTCCCCTCTGTCAAGATCAAAGCAAACTAATTAATAAACTTTGTACATATGTTTCTCAGAGGGCACTCAAAAGCATATATACAAAATGATACATGAGGCAAAGCTCAACAACGTATCATATTTGCAGCCTTTAATTCATGAGGGAAAAATGAAAAAAAGACACATGACTTAGCCTCGTGAAATCCTGAAATCTACCCAACAAACATTCAATGCAGATGGAAAACCCATCACAGTGTTTGTCACTAGAGGACTCATATTATATAGTAAGTACATGAAAATAAATCAAGAAATCTAATAGCTTGCAGGAATCTACAAAACATGTTGCTACCTGAACAGCGTCTAAAATCAAAATGGACCCAAAAATCTATAATCTTTTGGCATATTTGGTAATGAAATCTCTCTCAGAGAAAATTATGTGGTAAACTCAAAATGCTCTGATTTCTAAAACATCAGATATTACAGATCTGTCTCTAGCACAGGAAAGTATTTTAAAAACTGTGTTATTTTAGTTGATCATACCTTTCCTTCAGTAGTAAACTGTAACTGTGGAGTTTTGGTTGGGCTTCTGACCTCCCTTTTGCCATCTCCATCTTGAAACACGCCTTGGCCAGCAACTCCAGGGCCATAAACAGAAACATCACCAGCAGGGCCAGAGAAATCCTTTTGGTCCATGACACCAATAGGTGCTAGGCAAGAAGAACATGGAGTTATATTTGATATCACGTATGTTCAAAATGCCATAGGCTGGACTTTAGAAAGTTGTAAATACCTATCTGCATGTACAACCAACTGAAAGTAGGGACACACACACAGGGACACACACACACACACACACACACACACACACACACGAGTGCACGTACATGGAATACTGTCTCTCTTCGTTTCTGCCTCTTGGTTCCCCTGAAGTGCAAACAAAAATCCCACCTTCTACAAGGATGCCTTTTCCAACCCTTCTTAATTCTAATGCATTCCTCCTGTAAATTATTTCCTATTTATCCTATATATGTAGCGTGTTTGTACACATTTATTTGACTCTTGTCTCTCCTATAAGATTGAGAGTTTCTTGAGGCCAGGGACTGTCTTTTGCCTCTCTTTGTATCCTCAGCACTAAGTACACTGGCACACTGTAGGCTCCTGATTCACACAGACACCACACTAGATCAATCCTTTATTTTCCAGCTTCAGTTATTGCTTTATCTTCTTTTCCTTCTCCAACCCATCCTGCACAAAGCTCTTAAGGTGGTATTTCCAAAGCACAGGTAGAAACATGTCATTTGTTTGCTCAGAAAGGTCCTGCAGCTCTCAGCTACCTCAAGAATGAAATACAAACTCTCACGCGAGGCATTAAAAGTCCCTCAGGACACGGCTCTCACCGAATTTTTCTTCTTCACACACTCTACATTCCAGCCAAACTGGCCTGCTCACTGTTCCCACCATATACAACATTCCAGCTTCCACCTTCATGTCATGGCACAATCTGTTCCTATAACCTGGAATGCTCTCCCTTCCTCACCTCACAGAATTCCTACTTCCTTCTAGGCGTGGGTCAAGAGTCACCTCCGACAGGAGGAGTAATATTTTATATATATATATATAATATTCCTAACACGTACATGTTGCCCCTGCCCTCCAGCCTCAATAAAAAGCAAACTTCTACAAGTCAGGAATTATTTCACTTATGTCATTGTATGTACCTGATAAATATTTAAATGCTTAATTCCTATTTAATCAATCACTCAACTTCTACTCCACCCAGTCCCACGCAGCCAAAACACACATATTTTACTGTAGACAAAGCACTAAAACATATGTTAAGCTTAAAATATACTATACTTAACATCATCAGTCATTCAAAAAGATCTTGTAGGCCTAATTTGTTTTATTATAGCACTAGCCAATAGGAGGAGCTCTAAGACTACCTGAGTATGTAAGACAAGGGGAAAAGATCAGAACATAATTTGTAGGTAATGCTTTAAACAGAACTGGGGCAGAGACTCTCAAAACATTAATACCCATTTAAAAAAAATGTTCTGGAACTCACCTGACAAACCAAAACTATTAATACCAAAGCTGGTCTATGTTCATTTCATTACTCAAACACTTTGTTTCTGTGGGTCACATCCTTAAGGATTTGCCCTTCACACAGCAAAAGATGATTCAGAAAATTAGCAGTAACCCCAGAACAAGACATTCTCATCTTAGCCTTTAAAAATTCAATATCAAAACTCAATAAATACTTATGAATTGGCTATGATTAATTTAATTGTAGCAATTTCTATGTGGATATTTTAATTTTTTTTCCTCTGTTATCTTTCCCACAATAAGGGGTCAATTAGCGAACAGAAGGGGTTTACAGAATCTGGGTTGGAGGGGACCACAGAAGTCATATAGTCCAACAAATACCTTAATAAGAACCCTCTCCAGAACCTAAGTTGATTTGCTTTCCCCTGTAGCAGAGCAGCTAGGTGGTACAGTGGATACAGTGCTGGGCCTGGGGTGAGGAAGACTCATCTTCCTGAATTCAAATCTGGCCTCAGCCACTACCTATGGGACCCTGGGCAAGTCACTTAACCCTGCCTCTGTTTCCTCATCTGTAAAATGAGATGAAGAAGGAAATGGCAAACCACTCCAGCCATCTCTGCCAGGAAAATCCCAAATGGAATCACGGGGAGTTAGACATGACTGAAATGAATGAAGAAACAGTGGGGGAGGGGGGAAGGAAGGGATCCCACTGTTACCTCCAGAGGGATTCTGTTCCCCTTTAGGGCAGCTTTAATTGTTAGAAAACTGTCATTCAAATCAAATCTGAATCTGCCCCTGTGCAGCTTCAATCCATTACTTCCAATTGAGATCATCCTTCAAGTTCGTAGCATCTGTACAGACACTGAGCTATCAAAGACGACGTGATTCATACTAGAAAGACGTGTTAAAGTAGTTCATGGACTTGATGCAACTACCAGTTCATGCATTTACTGTGTTCTTTTTCCATACTGGCACTGTGTTGGATGACTTTTTTTTGGTTGATTTTTTTTTCCTTTGAACTGGTTATATATTATTTTTTTCTCTCTTTTCTCTTTACGGCCTCTCTTTTTTCTCACTCTGCCCTTTGGAGCCAAGGAGAAGAAGTCTACCAGATAACAGCCCTTCAAACACTTGAAAACAGCTATCATGTCTCCCTTAAGTGACCTCTATCTCCAGGATAAGCACCTCTAGTTCCTTAAGTGATCATTATATGGCATGAACCCCAGGCTGTTTGCTGTCACATGGACACTTGCTAATTTTACCATTGCCCTATTCTGTTCCTACTAAATTTTCTTTTCTCATAGGATCGTAGATTTAGAATTATAAGGGACCTTACAGGCCATCTATGTCTAACCCAGGGGTGGGGAATCTGCAGCCTCAAGGTCACATGAGGCCTTCTAGGTCCTCAAGTGCAGCCTTTTGACTGAGCCCAAGTTTTACAGAACAAATCCTTTTATTAAGGGAATTTGTTCTGTGAAGTTTGGATTCAGTCAAAGGGCTGCACTTGAGGACCTAGAAGGCCACATGTGGCCTCAAGGCTGCACCCCTGGTTAACCACCTCATTCTACAGATAAGGAAACTGAAGCTTAAAAAGTTAAATCATTTGCCCAGTGTTATATAGTTCATTGTGATAGGCAGAACTTAACACTCCAACTGATCCTAAAATGATATTCACAGAGATGGGGACAGATCCTATCTGATAGGGACTCTACCCGTGACTTCAATGGTACAGGGAACTCCCAGACAATGAAACCCTTCTGCCAGTGCAAGTTGGCACCTTTTCCCTGCAACTAATGGTATTCTTTAAGCAAATCAAGATCCTAGGTTCCATGTTTTCTGGGCCCTCAGCCTTACAACTGAGCTGCCAGATCACAAAGTAGGTGACTACTGGGGGGGAAGGGAACAGGAGAGAGACAGGATTAATGAGAGACTTGATGTCATTCCATATCCACATCTCATCCCCCTACTCAAATCATCACTATGGCAAAGATGGGGATGAGGAGGTGGGAAACTCCATCTCTAACTCTCAACTTAGGCTCATAGCTTGAGTTTCAATTTTTCCTTTGAGGATACCCTTGAATACTCAATTTTAATTTGATCTAACCTGTATAAAATGAGTTGGGGAATGGACAATGCAATATGTTATGAATGTTATTTATCTAACAGGAAATATTTCAAATCTTCTTTGTGTCCTCATTTAAAAAAGGAAAGTTTATATTTTTAATTCTGTTTTCCTTCTTCATTTACAAGGTTCCAGGTTCTAATTTGCTAGATTCTAAGAAGTTGTTCACTTGGTTTACAAGAGCATTTGGAAACCCCCAGGGAGTGAGCCAAATTTTCTTTGGCCTCAGCTCACTTAAGATCAAGTTCTTCCCCTTCCTGGCACAATATTTTACAACTTTATTACAAATATTTGTCATCATTTAATATTTGAAGTTAAATGGCAGAACACAACACCTTCCTCAAAGTTTCCTTGAGTACAAAGAAACAGTAGAACTTTGATTAAAAATGCTCTAGGAATAGAGTTCATGTTAAGTCAAGCTGGCCTAGTGGCAAATGAGTCTGATAAAGTCATCTAGTAGAAAGACTCTGGTTTCCCCTCTGCTGGGCTAGTGGTAGCAGTAGAGAGGGATGCTGCCATTTCAGAACTTAGTGCAAGATGAGAGACTTCCTCTTCCCTACTGACCTAGGAGCTAAGGTTGTATTGCTTCAGGCTAGGCATTGGCAGGTACCAGTCCTCAGGGAGGAAGAAAACCCCTTCACATTGGGACAAGAAATCAGAAAAAAGTCCTTAAGAAATGATAGCATTCCACAACTGGGACAAGGAACAGGAAAATGTTACTCCAAATAATGTGGAGCGAAAATCAGAATGCTCCATGGAGACAGAATCAAAGACGCTTCCAAAATAAAGAAAAACAAAAAGCCAAATGCCATGTCAATTAGAGCACATACTGATAAAGGTGGTGGTGGGGAGTGCTAGGTATAAGATAGCCCTACAGTTCAAATTTGTTTTGGAGAAGGAAAAGAAAGTTTGCTTACTGTATGTCCAGTCATACAACCACATGAAAAGCCTTCTATTTTATTTTCCACAATGGCCTTTTTGAGAACACACACTATCTTATGACTTATAGCATCCAAGACAAAGAGCAAAAAAGAATGAACCACTGTGTAATGTTTGGTGCTTCTATCTGCAAACTCATTGTTTTCAGATACACATCTACTGTGGCCCTCTGTGCTTACTGGACACACAAGATGGTGGGCTTCCCTATGAGTTGCTGAGAGGCCTCATATGTTTCAAGAAGACTAACCTGATATATTGCCCATCATGACAGTATAAAAAGACCACTGAGTGAAGAGGCAGAATATGTAAAATTCTAATTCAAGCTCCACCACTTAAGGACCTTGAACATGTTAATTAATTTACTCAGTTTCAGTTTTTTTCCTCTATCAAACAGAAATGAGTACTGTAATGTGCCCAGATTATCTTAAAAGTTCACATGGAGATCAATTAAGATATGGCAGGTGGAAGTACTTAGTAAGAGATAAACTATTATTACAAGATTAGCTGGTTGGTGGCAATGGGAGAGAGTTGAAAATGAGACTTGAAGAAAGACAAGATTCCAGGGTAAATAGCATTTTAAGTCAGAACACTAAAGAATAACAATTTCCTATGTTATAGGCCTTCGGCGTAGCAAAGGGCAAACATATGCAATATGGTAACTTTTGATACTTGAATGTCTCAACTGATAAACTAGAGGATGGTTTAACAACTTCTCTAGTGATAGATGCAAAAACATGCTGAAAAATCTATTTGTGAATGCAATCATTTATTCTAGACCATCTTTTTGCAGTTTTTGGTTTCATAAGAAAAAAATGTGGCAGATTCTCCAATAATCTCTGTGCCAGAGAATTTAGGAACAGTGCATTACTGAAAATAATTGATGGGCTGGGACTATTTCATTTGACTTTGTGTCCCCTATTATTTAGCCAAGTGTCTGGCACATAGTAGGTGCTTAAAAATGCTTGCTAATATATTGGGATAACTGAGTACCTAACAAATCTCCTTATGTATCATCTGTTTTACATACTGAGCCAATAAAAAGTGGTAGAACAGTCCCTTCATGTTGAGAAAGCTTTTTAAGAGTATTGGATTCAAGAGAGTTAAGTTCAAATTCCATTTCAGACATTTACTTACTGTGTGACCTTAGGCAAATTAATTACTTAAACTCTCAGAGTTTCAGTTTATAAGGGAATAATAATACTTGCACTGTCTCACCAGGGTGTTGTGGGAAAAATCAAAGCATTAGAGAAATGTGAATAATCTGAATGACTGGATTTATATTTTGCAAAGGTTATCAAAAAGGTGCTTTCACAAAACAATAAATTTATAGTGATATAGTTTCTAGTAATCCAGTTGGCTTCCAGAGAGAACCAGCAACCAACAACATTTTTTAAAAATGAGACTAGCAATTTAAAATCCTCCTACTGTCTCTCTCATGGATTGGAAACTATATTTAGAAGTTGTATTTCTTTGGGTAATAAACTATCTGCATTGATCATATCTTACTCATGCGTAAGTAGGGAGAGACAATACTAACCTATTTCCACATGAGAGACCAAAGGGAAAAGAGAAGAAAAAAGAGAAACAAAAAAAAAAAGAGAAAAGAAAGTGAAGGAAAAAAGAGAAAGGGAAAGGAGGTAAGGGAAGTCACAAGGATGAATGAATGAACAAAAAACATTAAGTGTTTGCTATGTGCCAGGCACTCAGTGACAGGGATAAAAACAAGAAAAATAGAGTTAGCCTTGCCTTTGAGAAGCTCCGTTTCTAATACAAGGAGATATCACACCTGAGGTGTGAGGGGAAGAATATTTTGGTTTGCAAAGTCACCACAGGAATGGTGAGCAGAGCCATAGGGGAACAGAATGATGGGGTCTATCCAACAGCAATGGCAGTCTTGATTTGATTATGGATCTTAAAAGAGGAGAAAGAACTAAAACTGCACATTAAAGTATATGCATTTTTTTTACTAGAAATATAAGGAGAATAATTATATTGTTATCTATGTATTTTTTTGATCCATCAACATTTTATGCAATTTTACTCCATGTTAACAAAAATATTGAATAAGCTATATATAGTACAATTCTGTTTTTAATTTTACATGCTGCATATGCTGTACATGCTATGAACATATCAGTTCCTTTTAAATTATATTATCAGAAAAATGGCATATACATGGAAGCCTGGAATTAAAATTTTAACACTATTTACATATTTATTGAAGTCTCCTAGAAGCAAAAATGTTTTGCAGCCAAAATAGCTACAGTAAGTTCTAGGTTACAGAGGCTCCTGTCAACTGGAAATAGTTACTAGCAGTCATTTCTACACATTTGTATCACAAAGAGATTTAGTGATCATTAGCAATAATTCCCCCAAGGAAGAAAAGATCATGAAATATCATCAAAATATAAGAAATACTGAATTATATGTGAACATCTGAACCATTAATGTATTTCAGTTTTCTAATTCCTTAAAACTTGGCCACCTACAAATGATGTACCTGATAAAACCAACCATGTTATCTGAATAATAGAGCTTAACACACTTGTCGGAAGAGTTCCTAACCTAGGATCTGTGAACTTAAAAAAACTGATAACTATATTTCAGTATAATTGGTTTTGTTGGTAATCTTATGTATCTCATTTTATTCATTTTAAAACATTTTTTCGGGAATAGGGCACATATTGCCAAAGGGGTCATGAGAGAAAAAAGGAAAGGAATTCCTTCTCTATAATTACTTATTTTCTTACCTCCATCAAGACTTCTTGAGACCCGTTTGCTGGAGGTACGCTCAAAATATGGAGCTGGTCTGTCTATGAGGGTGCTTGCCTGTCGGGTCTGTGCTTGAGTACGGCCACTATATCGGAACTTAGACCCCAAAGTGAGGAACTTAGCCTTCGGTGGCTGTTCTGGTGACACAAGCCTATATGGGACAAAAGTAAAACAAAATTAGAATTCACAGCTACGGTTCAGAAGAAAACTTTGTAATTTTTAAAGGCTTAATCCTCTACTAAGTATCTAACTTTTCAAATAGAATATGGTTACTCAATTTTGAAAATGGAAGAGAGTCCTAGGGGTGGGGAACCTGCAGCCTTGAGGCCACATATGGCCCCTTCGACTGAATCCAAACTTCACAGAACAAATCCTCTTAATAAAAGGATTTGTTCTGTAAAATGTGGACTCAGTCAAAAGGCTGCTCTTGAGGACCTAAAAGGTCACACGTGGCCTCAAGGCCACAGGTCTCCCATCCCTAGAAAAGACAATTACTCACAAATAATATCACGTGCTCTAATGTAGGCTTGTAAATAAAAACCAAACATTCCCAGTTCTCCCATATTATTTCCCTCACATATAAACAAAACAATAAGGAAGATTAAAAAACCCCTCTATTAAAAGTCTACTATGTGCCAGGTATTAAGCTAAGCATTTCACAAATATTATCTCATTTGATCCCAACAACCTTGCGAACTAAGTGTTACCATCATTTTACAGGTGAGGAAATTAAGGCAGACTACACTGGTCTTTGCCCAGGGTCACATAAGATAGTGTCTGAGGCCACACTTCAACCCATCTTCTTGATTCCAGGACCAGCACTATCTGCTATGCCATCTATCTGCTTCTAACAAAATGAATAAAAATCAATATTCTTTCCTGTGCCTTTGAACTGTGATAAATATCTAAGGCTGTAGTCAAGGACATAGTCACAGTGGCCTTATGTTTATGATTCTATATCCTACAGATAATCCTAATGATTGAATCTTTGGTCTTAGCTATAAAATTGCCAAGCAATTTGTTTTTAGTTTTTATTCATGAAGTTTAGAGCTATTTCTACTACAAAAAGACCAGCCAATTTATTGGATCTACTCCACTGAATAATTCTTTCCCATGGAAAAAAAAAAAAAAAAGAACCGAACAGAATGAAAGTAGACCAGCACAGATGACTAACATGTCTGCTTGCCAGAATGATTCATCACTTAAGCCCTGGGTTCATGAAATGAATGATAAAGTCAATACTGCAGAATATGAAACACTGTTGTAAACTGATGCAATTTTAAATGGGAAAAAAAAAATCACAAAACTTCTAGGTTACTAGTAGATGAGAACTGTGTAACCCAGACAATCTATACCAGGAATGCTAGAATATGAATTGAAATTCAATATCCTTCATTATGATGACATGGTATAGTGGGCAGAGTGAAGAACCTAGACTTAGGAAGATATGGGTTCAAATCCCACCTCTGACACTAGCAGTGTGACCTTGGGGTATACTTCTCAAACATGAACGCACTATTAAATACCAGCCACTACAGTCTGATCAAGAACAAGCCAAAGGGATTAACTATGAAATCCAAAATTTGCCTAAAAGCAGTTTTTGAATTTCCCAATTAACTAACGGGTTTCAGCCAACCATTTTACAGGATGTGAGGAACGCAGCAAGTCATTTTCCTTCATCTGTCTACGATAATTAACATGTTGGTAGCACTTTACAGTTATAAAATAATATGCTTACATTATCTCATTTGATCTTTACAACAATCTATGTGCAGGTGTTTCCATTTCCATTTTGCAGATGACAAAACTGATGCTCAGAAAAACAAAATGATTTGCCCAAGGCCACCCTAACCTCTCAGAAGTAGTCTATATGGTACAATCCTACACAGCTCTACTAGAATTCTAGCCCCATTTCTGCTTTAATTTTAGCAATCTTTCAGTGCCTTTTCATCCATGATGAGAAAGTGCCTCCAAGGCAGTAAGAGATTGAGCATGCCAATGTGCCAAGCAACCTCTGGCAGCCTCCCACACACTCAGTGTTCTAATCCTATGCAATGCCAAAAAGTCTCTAGAATAGAAAAACATCAAAATCAAGACAGTTATCAAACTGAATTACATTTTTGAATGTTTGGCCCCAGATTTCCTAACCTAGTTTTGAGTGACTGCTTCTGTATCAGGCCTCTGATTTTCTAATAACCTCTAATTTTCTAATAATAACAATAATGCTATCTTTTATACAGCATTTTAAGGTATACAAAGCACAGAACATGTTATCTTGTTTACTCATACTCAAGGAAAAGAAGTGGTATGGATGAGTACGCGAAATTGGATTATGCCTGTGACAATGGACTCCATGGTTGGAGATCTGAGGTAATCAAAAGACTAATGCTATGGAAGTTGTCCCAGGGGAAAGTAGCAGACTATCTGACAGTTTCTTAATTTGAATGACTATTATTATACTATATAAGGTCGGTTGTTTCTTCATAACGGTATACAAAAATTTATATTAACTAACTTCTAATAGACTCAGGCAACATAAAGCAGGCCACGCTTATCTTCACTCATGAAGCATTTTTGGTAATAATATTTATACTACATTATAGGGTTATTTTAAGGAAAAGTGGTTTATCAACAATTAAACTGTAATGTATGAGTGTGTTTAATTTTAATAAGAGGAACAATTATCTATAAAAACACACCTCAAAGGAACAGCATACATTCATGATCTAAAAAGAAATCTCTAAAAATGTTCATTGGGACCAAAAAATGAACTAGACATATTAGTTACATTAAATTTACTGAAATCTTAATGCAAAAAATATATATATATATATGAAAATATGTATATTTGTGTATTTTAAAGACTGAATTTGTAACTTCCTCTTGAAGAACTCATGTTTCAAGGGGGAAAAACTGAGGAAAAGTAATTTTTTGGATTTTTCTCCCACACCGATAATTAGTTCCTTGGGGGAAGAAAGGGTCCTGCTTTTTTCTCTTTTGTATATCTTTCCTGGAGATTTATGGCAAGGTTATTAAGAACAAATGATAACTTTTAAGCCTAAATGCACCAACAAAATCCATACAATGTCAAGAGAACAAGAAGGCGGCCCCTGATAGAAAATTCCTAAGAGAGTACAAACAAGAGCTGAGAAATCACAGACGGGCCACAATCTGCATCATTGGAAGTATACACATGAATGAGATCATAGATCTATTAAGGTTATCTCTTCATATCAAATAAAATAGGGGTCTACACCTAGACTGCTATACAGTTAGCAACTGATAATCTGCCTGAATATAATCTTCAATGGTTAGCATACTCCCGTCATTTTAGACCTTTTATTTTGTCACTGCTTCAATCTCCTGGCACATGCCAAGCCCTGGCTCAATCCAGAAGACAGGGCATTCCTGACCACCCTTTTCAACTCCTGTTGTATTTTCTCTCATACACCTTGACTGACTGACTATGTTGGAGGAGTTTGGAATACTCCTTGCAAAGTTCATTCAATCCATATTTATCACACAATCAAGATGCCAGGAGCTATTATACATGGATCCCCAAGACATTGTCCTTCCTTCCTCAATAAATTTAGTGTCCAGCTCATAGTCTCTATCTTAACTCCTGATCTCATTCTAGGGAACTATACACAAAAAAGGACATACCTTTGAGCTTACCATCACACAGAAATGTGTCACTCCTATGTTCAGGAACTCCAAAATTCCTTTATCTGATCATAATCTTTTGTCATCTCATCTTTCCCTTTGCTTTTCAACCCCTAATTCTGTTTCTCCTCCTTACCATGACCACCAACCCCTCCACACTTTAGTTCTTTCCAAAGCCACATGGCCCTGCACTTGCTACACTCTCCTCCCTTCTCCATCTCAACCACTTGGTAAATTTAATTCTACCCTATCCTCTACACTTGAATCCCTCAGTCCCTTAATCCTCCTGAAGATCTTGCCTTTCCAAGCCCCAGGCTTAGAACACTCCTACCATCCACTCTTACTTCCACTTTGCTGAATACAGTTGGAGAAAATCATGAAACCATGATGATTGGGTCCACTAAAAATTTATGTTAAATAATTTAAATCTACCTGACTGTGGCAAGGTATTCCTTTTATACTCCCTGATAGATTCACTATCCAACTAGCACAACAGCCTTTCTAAACCTTCTCAATCTCTCTCCCACACCCCAATGGCTCCCATTCTCCTCGTTCTCTAAGCTGAGAACCCTGCCTTATATTTCACTGAAAAAATTCGGGTCACTCTTTAAGACTTCCCTCTTTTCTCCTCTTCCTCACCTCATATTACTCAGATCCTATCTGCCACTACTGTCTCCTTTACCCAAGCTGACATGAAGAGAACACTCTTCTCCGTTTGCCAAAGCAGACCCCTCAACAAGCACAAGGGATCCCATTCCATCGAATCTTCTCCAGCAGTTTACCCCTCTATCATCCTCACTTTCTCATTAATCTCTAATCCTTCTCTACTGTCCACAAACACCCAGGTTTCCTTCATGGCTCCCAAAACCATCAGCTGATCCACCCTTGCTAGCTATCCTTTATCCCTCTCCCTCATTTTGTGGCTGAATTCTCGAGGAAACTGTCTTATACATGTGGCCTGCCTCAGTCCTCATCCTTCTTGACCTATCTGAAGTCTCCAACATTGTCGAGCATCCCCCAGTTATTCTCTCTCCTCTAGGTTTTTGTTAGCTTGCTGTCTCCTGTTCTCCTCCTTTTCCTTCCTTTTTTCCTGGTTCTCCTCCTTCTCCTCTCCTTTGCAGGCTCTTTATCCAGGTCTCGACCAGTAATCATTGCTTTCTCCTTTGCCCTCTGCTTTTCTTCTACAATGCCTTGGTGATTTTATCTGTTTCAATGGATTCAATGATCATTTCTATGGAGATGACTCTCAGGTCTATTTAGCCAGGCCTAACCTCTCTGTTGATCTTCCGTCTCACATCCCCAACTGCGCATTAGAAATCCTGAACTGGATATCTCCCATAGATACCTTGAGCTCAACATGTCTAAAATTGAACTCATTATCTTTTCCCCTAACCCTCCCTTCTTCCTCACTTATTTATTCCTAGCAAGGGGACCCCCTCAGGTTCATAACCTCAAGGTCAGCCTCAATTCCTTACTCTCAAACTTCCCCTCCATTATTCAATCTGTTGCCAAATCCTGTAGCTTCTACCTTTAACACTTCTTCTCTATGCCCCTTTCTCTCCTCTTAGTCATGCAGGCTTCAATCACCTCAGGCCCAGCCTACTGCAATAAATTCTAGTTGCTGTCCCCTTTTCACTTCCTCACTTCGTTCCATCATCTACTCAGCTGACAAACAGCTCTTCCTAAAGCACAGGTCCAACCGTATCATTCCCCTATTCAAATATCTCCAGTGGCTTCCTATTACCTCCAGGACCAAATAAAAAATCCTGTAATCTGCTTTTAAAGCCCTTCACAACCTGGCCCCCTTCTACCTTTCCAGTCTCATACCTTACTCCCCTCCACGTTCATTCATTCATTCAATAAACACATATAAAGTATCTATTATATGCCAGGCACTGTGATAAGTGCTGGGGATACAAAAAGAGGCAGAAGACCATCCCTGCCCTCAATGACCTAAAATTCTAAAGGCCAGCAAGGACTTGCTGTTCCTCACACAAAATTCCATCTTTCAACTCCATGCTTTGTCACTGGCTGCCTCCCATGCCTAGAATTACTCTGTTTTCACCTTTACCCTGTGGCTTCCCTTGCTTTCTTGAAGACTCAGCTCAAATCCTACCTTCTGCAAGACATCTTTCCCAATTCCATTCTTACTCCCGAACTGTTAGAGCCCTCCTTCTGAGATTACCTCCAAGTGACCCTATATGTATCTTGCATGTACACAGATGTTGGCATGCTGTCTCCTTCATTAGAATGTGAGCATCTAGAGGTAAGTACTGTTTTTTGCCTTCCTTTTTATCTCCAGAAGTGAGGGTGGGATACAAAGATCTCCAAATACTTGTGCCTGGCACAAATATATGCTTAATTAATTCTTGTTAAGTAGCTTTCAAATTAACCACATGGGAAATTCTAAGACATTTATAAATATTATTTTAGTTTTTCTCTTTGGGTGTTCCCAACATAATCTAGGACTAGAACTATATCCTCTGTCTGTTTCTTTCTTTCTCTGTCTCTCTCCTTTTCTCTTTTGTTAAGATAAGAAAGAAGCAGGTGATTCTGAGTCATATTTCTTCCATTTAATATTGGAATCCTCCCATAATTAAGTATAATCATACAATAGTTTAAATAGGAAAAATGATCATACAAAAGAACACAAAGAAACTCTTTCAATTATGGAGGGAGGCAATAGAATACAACCTACACAGGTCAGAATGCATAATCAGGTAAAAACTTGAATCAAAAGACCCATGTGAGAATAAGGAGAATCCTATACAACCTGTAATGAAACTTCTATGCAAGTTCTTTACAGTGGTCAGGAAAATTGGTTTTCTTTTCAAAGCACATTACAATGATTCTATCTAGGTGCATTTTATTAAAGGCATTTTGTAAACATGACAGATCCATTATCAGGCCTAAAATTATAGAGCAAAGTTTTAGGTTTTGCATGAAGTTGTGAGTCATCATCTTGTACAAAGAAAACACAAAAGATGTAACTTCTGGACAATCGAATTTATAGTCTTTCAAACTGGGATAAAAAGCTCTCTGAAGCTTTCTGTTTCAATTGATATTGCATTCTCTTGCACAAACTTCCAGAATATGACTGATACATGTGGCTAGAAATTTTCTAATGACATAGCAAGTCCTAGGGGAACTGTGTCTCAACTATACCAAATGTTTTCTTGTGTCCAGAAACCTTTGAATCAAAATCAAACCTTTCATCAACATAAGAACAAAGCAGTCAGAATAGAACATAGAAAGAGACTAGCTGCTTCTTTAACAAAAAGGTGCTACGCTGAGCAAATATGAATATAAACCTACTTGAAGTATTTCCTAGAAAACACAAAGAGAGCAGGAACCAAAAATATTTCAATAATATTTATCTTTTTTGAATCACAAAACATTTGTTTTCTTCAGATATCTTTCACTCCTAGGCCCTCTTTGTTATACATTGTCTTAAACTCTATCTATCAGCCAGAAAGTTACTCTAAGATAATAGTTAAAATAAAATTACTAAAACTCATATAGACTAAAAAAAAATTCCTTGAGCAAGAGAAAAGGAGTAAGACATTAAAAAGGAAATCTACTTGCATACATTTCATCTCTTAAAGTATATATTTAAATTGGCATAAGACTGAACATTGCAAATATTACTAAAGATTCTTATGAAAAATAACTAAAAGGGATTTTAAAAATCCTATTATTAATAAAGTCACAGTCACATATATTAGCAACAGTGCTACTATTTAAAAACTGTTATGTAAGAAACCGGCTAATATCTTACTACAGGGCAATTTAGTATCAACATGCAAAATTTCGTATTTCTTCAATTTTACATATTCCAACAAAATATGACTTAAAAATTTTCAGAAAGTATCCCTCTATAAAATATATCCATGTACACATAAAGTAACATTGTATTCTGTCTGATCTGATAGCAATGGAAAAACCTACTTGTTTTTTAACTGCCTTTAAGTGAAAAGTGCTAATGGGGTGGGGGGTGGGGTTGAAGTAATCAGGGTTAAGTGACTTGCCCAAGGTCACACAGTTAGTAAGTGTCAAGTGTCTGAGGCTGGATTTGAACTCAGGTCCTCCTGACTCCAAGGCCGGAGCTTTTTCTACTGTGCCAACTAGCTGCCCCGTAAGTGCTATTATTTTCTAAAGAAATCCATTTTTTAAAAAAGTGCTTCCTTTAAAAAATTGTTGATTTTTTAAAAAAATACAAAAATTAAAATTTCTGTTATAGAAAGTCCAATCAAATTTACAAGAAAATGTTTAAATGAAACATTTTTTTCCAGTGTTTGAGATCTTAAATTGATGTTTACAAATAAATTCCCAAAATAGGTTTCATGGGGGCATTTGGTAGAGGAAGGGGAGATATAAGAAGCCTATCATTTATTTCTACTTCTTCACTGTACTGGTCATGATAAAAATATCTACGGCTTTATATGATCTATGGAGACAGAACAAACTTGCCTCAGAAATAACTCTAAAAGAATCAGATAAATTTTTGACAAAAAATCCTGAGGCTTGAATAAAATGGTACTGGTTGGTAGCAGCACATGCCAACATTATCAAACAAATTCATTACTTAATAGTCAGTTTGTGGGTTGTTTTTTTTTTCCTGACTGGCAGGAAGAAGACTATTTTGGGCCTCAGGATATTCATTCAACAAAATAGGGTAAAGCCAATGATTCAAACATACTAAGGGCTTTAAAAAAACTTACTTATGTTAATTAAAATACTGGAAAATTTTGTTATTGTTGTTCATGTGTTTCAGTCGTGTTGACTCTTTGTGACCCTATTTGGGGTTTTCCTGGCAAAGATACTGGAGTGGTTTGCCATGTTTGAGACTGGATTTGAACTCAGGAAGATGAATCTTCCTGACTCCAGGCCCAGCACTCTATGCACTTTGTACTGTAATACCTACCTTATATTCAACTGAATATGAAGGGAGAAGTTTAGAAACACCCATAGTTAAGAAAGATTAAGCTAACCCATATATTCTTTCCTGATAAGAGTAATTCTACCAATTGTTAACTCCTAAAATTACCTGTAGAAAGTATGATGCTCCACACACACTTTCCATAACCTTTTAGCAGCCCGGTGGTTTGGCAGTTTGAACCCAATGGTGCTCTCAAACTGTTCCAGCTGGAATGAATCCACAAAACAAATTAGCACATTTAAAAGTTCATCACTGACCAGTACCAGGGCTTCTAGGTTTCTATCAGTAGCAATTCTCCTTTCTTGGGAAAGGGAAAAGGCTGGTTCAGATATAATTAATAGTAGCACTACACAGATGGATGTGTCATGCACTGTAATAATAATAACAGAATTTTCTATCTTCATAGACATATAAACCTATTCAAATAAGCTTATTATATTTTGGTGTCCCCTGGAAGTTATCAATCCTTTAACATAACTTTAATATTACTTTCCTAATGATTCCTTTTTTAATTACAGGAATGGACTTACAGAAAGGATTAACATTGGAAAAAACTATTTTAGGGAAATGACCAACTGTTCATTAGGTTTAAATTATTGTAAGAAAAAGTTGATTTAAATATAAAGAACTTGTTTACTGTAAAAGCAATGAAGACTGAGAAATAAGGAATTAATTGATTAAAGACACTAAGGAAAACTGACTCCGCACTGCTCACCTCTGCTGGCCTGACTTTAATGTAGAAGTTACTGCGCTTGTAGGAGATTTTCAGGATTTTAGGCCAGGCAAATCGATTAATTCTGAGTCTGTCCTTATAAATAAGGAGTCCATTAGCACATACACCCAGCTTGATGTCCACGCCTTCTGAATCCTACCAAACACAAAGTATTAAATGCTGGTTAATAACAACAACAAAAATAGCAATAACAAAAATAATAACGTGCTTTCAGGTTTGCAAAGTGCTTTACATATGTTATCTCATTTAGACACATGGTCATTTGGTTAACTAGTCTTTTAACGCCAAAAACAGAAATGGTGACTTTTATAGATTTTACCTTTAAATAATAGCAGGAACAGAAAAAAAGATTGAGACTGTAGAAAACATTGAACACCCTAGAATCTATCCATTTTCAAGGATCATATTTTATTTTTCAAAGAACTGTTGTAATGTAATCTCATGTCTCACTACTTTTTAAGAAACATGTGATGAGTGAATTATTGAACTCCTTTCTAAGGGTTAAGAGGGCAAGAATGGGAGCAGGGGAGAAAGAGTTGGGAATGGAGCTAGATTTTCCACAGAGAAAGGGGTAAGAAGCTAAAATATGTGTTTTGTTGGAATATATACCAATCTCCTGTGGCAGGGTGACAAAAAGGACACTTGGCAGTCCGGACTCTGAATTCAGTCATTTTGGTAGAGGGTTTTTAAAGGGTCTTTTTTTTTTTTTAAACCATCGATGAATCATTTTGGCTGACAGGTATAGGGTGATCTCAGTATTACATTCTGCAAAAACAATCACTCATTCCAAACTTTCCTTCAAGGCAAGTTGAGAGTTACAATTTCCCCTAGTGTAATGGAATCCCCAAATCCTTCCAAGCAGGTCACCAGTAATAAAATGCTGACATCCACTTGTCATTACAACATTCCTTTGGCTGGCACAGTTTAAAGGATTGAAAACTATTCTTGAGTTCACTAATATTGGCTTCCCTCTAAGGCTTTTGTTTGGAAAAGGAAGGCAATCTGAAATAACTATAAGCCCAAAAGATTTAAAGGAACCAAGGAAGTTGAGACAAAAATGAGCAACAGGGCATATGTAGCTCTCTGACAGTTCCAGTATTGTATGAGACACAAGATGTACAGTCCTGTAAATACATCATTCATTAATGCTTCATCAAGCAATAGAGACTTAGATTTCATTAAAAAAACATAAACTAAACTAAATTACCCCTAGCCATCACATATTAAAAATCAATTAGTGACATGATACATGTTCTGGTTCTTACAACATAAATGCAAAATGAATTCAATCCCAAAACTATCACTAGTCTCAATCTTAATCCAATAAACTAAAATTCATATTTCAACCTGGCATCGAAAAAAGTGTCTTATAATGTTTGTTTTAAAAATAAATGCAGTGGTAGGGAGTTTCATGACTACTGATTGCCAAATGTTCTCTCTGCCATTATACTTCTAAATTCATGTGCATACTTAAAAATGCACTAAACCATCCATCTGAATAGTGGGGTTTTGGGGGGGGGGAATATAACCCATATGGTGTGTTTTTCACTCTTTTCTGAAAGACAATCTTCAAGAAGTCCTAGAAATACTAGTAGCAGGGATAAAACAGAAGAATCTCTGTACAAAGCCACTTGGTTCTAAATCAGGCTGCCAAAAATTACTTGCTAGGACCAGAGAAGCAAGAGGTTATCTGTGCAAATATTTAAAGCCCAAAGTAAAGGTCTACTTCTTCTATGAGGCTTCCCTGAGCGTCCTACAGAGTCCTGCTGCCACATATGCCACCAAGCCTCCAAATCAGGGAGCTCTCTGTTCTGCAACTCTCTTAAAGTACTTTTAATTTAATTTTGTGTATGCTAGATCACAAGTTCCATACCAGTGGAAACTGTATTTTACCTGAACTTTGCATTTTTCCCCCAATGTCTAGCGTAGTACTCTGCACATAAAAGGTGTTTAGTGCTTGTTGAATGAAGAGATAAATGTCATCATAAATGAGAAAGCAATCCTTATGTGAAGCACTGTACTAAACCATTTCCATATGAGTTCAGCATACTGAAGATGCCCAATATGATGTTATTTGATATATTAATAACGATGATTTGATTTCAGGTAAACCTTTACTTCTACTGACCTCTTGTGGTTTTATGAATGCTACTATTCTAAGTTAATAAATGACTTTGGTAGGCAGGAATTGTTAGTATAAAAGGGATTAGAAAAAAATGACATTAAAGTAAAAAGGCGCCCCAAACCCTCCAAAGTATGCATAGTAAGTTAATTCAAGGAAATCTTTTTAAGCACCCTATATATGTTCTTTCCAGTTTCTACAAAGTAAGCCCTAGTATTTTTCTAGTTGTTTTCTTCACATACCACATTGACTAGATTAGGTAAGGAAGAGATACGTATGAGTTCCACCTTCCAGAACAAAAATTTACATGGGATCTGGGAGAGGTTTCCATCTTTCATATTTCCCCTTGCTCAAACACCTCACTGTCCATACCTAAGGACACATCACTCATTTTTCAAAAATGCAAAATTAAAAAAAAAAAACTCCAGTAAAGAAAAGAGACTCTTCCATTGGATTGTGAATTTAGAATTAGAAGGGACCTTAGATGTCTCCCTAATTTTACAAGTGAAGAAACTGAGGCCCAGAGAGGTCACAGAGCTACTAAAAGTGGTAGAGGAAAGAATCAAACTCAGGTCATCTGATTCCAAACGTATTACTCTTTTCCACACCACCATGATGTTAACTCACAATATACAGAAGCTCTTTGGAAAGCACTTACATCCATAATACTGATGATTATCCTTTGACCTCTTATCTAATTGTAGAGCAAAGGGAAGGGCTGGGGAAAAGGCAAAGGCAGACAGAAACTGGCAGGGGTAATTCAAGAACTGAGTCACAGGAACTTGCCAAAAAGAGAACCAGAACAAATTAATTTGGAGGCCAGTGTTTAAAGAAGAAATAGAGGGGACTTGTAGAAAGGGAACAGATATAGAAAAGAAGCATGATTTAGAGTGGGAAAAGATGATAGAACAAGGGAGAAGAAAGAAGAAAGTGATCTGGTCTCTTTAAATGTTATAGTCACTCAAAGAAATACAATTCAATACCCCGGGTTAACAAATAGGTTTTTTCATTAAAAAAAGACCTAAATCAATTCAAGTGCTTAGCACAGAGCCTGGCATGTATTAGGCATTATAGAAATGTTTATTCCCTCCCCTGCACCCAAATTCTCTAAGGCTGCTTAGGTTATTTTAAAGTTCAAATACTTTGCTCTTCAAACAAGAGCCTGAGGAGTGGGGTGCTAGGTTATACATTAGTGCACACAGTTTCTGAAATAGATTTATGTGGCAAAGGTGATAGAAGACAGAAACGGACAGTGTTGTATAAGGATAGACACAATAGAACAATGTCGGTGGAACTATGAAGTAGTACAACCCTTAGGCAAAACAATTTGTAATTTATGTAAGAAAAGTCATTAAAGTCTTTATGCTCTGTAACCCAGGTATCTAATTACTGGGTATGTATCACAAGGGAAAAGGGTGGGAGAGGCAGAGAAGGCAAGAAGGGATGGAGAGAGGAAGGGAAAAAATGGAGGAGGGGAGGAAGGAAGGAAAGAAGGAAGAGAGGGAGGGAGGGAAGAAGGGAAGGAGGTAGGGAGGGAAGAAGGAAGGGAAAAAGGAAGGGAGGGAGGACGGGAGGGAGGAAGGGAGGAAGGAAGGGAAGAAAGAAGGAAGAGAAAAATGGAGAAAGGGAAGAAAGGGAAAAAGGAAGGAAGGGAAGAAGAGAAGAAGGAAGGGAGGAAGGAAGGAAGGGAGGAAGGGAAGCAGGAAGGGAGACAGGAAGGGAGGAAGGGAGGGAAGAAGGGAAGAAGGAAGGAAGGGAGGAAGGAAGGGAGGGAGGGAGGAAGGAAGGGAAGAAGGAAGGGAGGAAGGGAGGGACGAAGGGAAGGAGGAAGGGAGGAAGGAAGGGAAGCAGGAAGGGAGGGAGGGAGGAAGGAAGGATGGGAAGAAGGGAGGAAGGAAGGGAGGGAGGAAGGGAGGAAGGAAGAGAGAGAGGAAGAATAACTTAGCCACTTTTTTTGTGCTTATCAAAAGAATGGGGAAAAAACAGGTACTTCATGATTGGGGTGCAACTGTAAAAATGTGGTTTGAGAATATGATGGAACATCATCGTACCATTTAGAGATGATGAATATGAGGAATTCAGAGAAACATGGGAAAACTTTTATGAAATGATGCAATGTCAAGTAAACAGAACCAAGAGACTAATGCACACAGTAAATACAATAACAGAAATAAAAACAACACAAAAAGACAGACAAACTGATAAACTGTAATATCAATCTGGATTCAGACAACAGAAGATTAAACCCCATGGTAGATAGTTAGTGGGACTAAGGGCACAAAATTTAGCACAGGATCTCAGATAAGGTCATCGTATTGGTTGGTTTTGCTTAACTGTTTTTCTTTATTATAAGGCCAGCCTTTTTAAAAACATCATAACAAAACTTTTAAAAATAGCTTTACAATACCTTGGCATGATGTAGATCTACACCATACATGGAAAGTCTCTTTGCATTTTCTAAGAACTGAGAATCAGCTTGTGCTGGAGATAAGCCCCTAAGAATCATAAGGAATAATTTATTTTATTAATGGGAAAATATGTGAATAAAATCCAAGACCAAAAAACACTTTTCAACTTTATAGAAATGTATACAAATCATGTTTTCCCTATACTTTAATCTTCTTTTTTCCTTATTACGACATCCTAAACAAAGTTCTGATTTTTCGTTTGTTTTGCTTTAAAAAAAAAAAAAAAAAAAAGAGGTCACATGCCCTATTGCCTGAAGAAGCTGTGTTTCAGTATTGCCTTATGGAAAACAAAACTTCACTAAGTCGTCCAAGTCCAACTTAACTGACTACTTGTTTTAATCTGTCCCAGGTGAACAAATTCTAAATTCTTCATTTTATTCTCAATTATATTATTTGATAAAAAAATTAATGACATTAATTTTTTAAACCTATAAGAGATAATTAAGTGCACATGAATTATTCAAGATGTTTTCAGTAGCTGAATGTTCTTTTGAAGCTATTCTGAAGTTCAAATGTAATATATCTGAAAACTTAGAAAACATGAAGGCACTATATAAATGAAATTATTATCATGGGTATATCATAAGTGAAACTCAAGATCCTATGTTACTTAAATATATGTCAGTATCAATTGCCACAGATTATTCTCTTTACTGCTGAAGTGTAGTTTCAAAACAAAATATAAAACAAAAACAAACAAAAAACCTCCAAACTTCTTAAACTCTTCTACTTCAAGAGGTACAAAATCTTCAGTTCACAGCACTCTTTAGAACTTAGATGGATCTATTATTATCTACTGATATATGCACTACCTCAATCAGTGAAGACAACACATTCTCCTCCTGTAGAATTCTTGTTAATGTCCTCTTTCCATAGGTCCTCCACAGAGATAACCAACTGTTGGAAGCCTTCTTATGGGTCTCTTTACATCTTGCAGTATTAGCGCAGCAGTCAGACTTGTCTATCTGTTGTCTCTCATTCCAAGACCAGCCCACCTCCTTTTCCAGTGACAGTCCTCCATTCTATGCCAATTTTTATGATGATTAACGTTGGAAATATATAGCAGCCTTGTGTCCAACATGTACCTTTCCATTGACTCCTATCCCCTATAATTTTGATTCTTCTGAAATTGTGATGTTCTAAGATTCAGAATATATTGCATTATTGGGAAACATTTGCTTTAAAAAAAAGTTTTCATATCAGGGAGCCACTCAGGATTATTAAGCACACTGCAAATTCCCAACTGCAATTCAACTAGATTTCCTCTTCCTACTCAATTATCCATCTATAGTGCCTGTTTCAGATATGTATGTATATTCATATTACTGATATTAACTCAATGGACAGGATATCTAGCTGCACGTCAGTTAGGACAACAGACCTTCTAAACCTATCTATTTATAAAAAATACCTATTTATTATTTAATGTATGGATTATTAGGTCAAATTCTTTTAAGTAGTTATTGATCTCACTGGAAAGGCACTATAATATTCTGGTGTTGATAATTGTAATACACAGTACAGTATCATCTGCAAAAAAAGATCATTTGGAGAACTCCACCATCTTCTACAATGACTATTTCTTCCATTTGAACTCATTCAATGAATTGTAGGAAACACTCCATTAGAATTTATCTTCCTTTGTCATTCTTACCTTGATGTTAATAATTAGGCACGTGGCATTTATCAAAGAGTCTTATAAGATCTTAAATGCATGAGAGATTTCTTGCTGCACCCTTTAAGGCAAATCCATGAACTTATTTTTAAGACATTTTGGTATCTGGATTTCAATTTAATTGGTTTCCTTTGTAGTCTTACATATTTTATTTTATACATTTAAAAGAGTTTAAAGGTTTAACTAGCCTGCCAAAGGGGGAGGAGGTTGAGAGAGGACCATAATAGAAGAAAAATTTCTGCTTGATTCTACATTTAACTCTGATTAAAACATGTTTATTTTTCTTTTTGAAATTCAGAAAAGAAATCACATAGTAACCTTGTAAAATCTACATCTTTCAGTCAAATATGTAACTATGAAGATACGATATTCTGTGAAAACTGAAATAACCTTTCTCATTTTCATCAAGAATTCTTACATGTATAGATCATTCTCAAATTTTATAAAGTTAAGAAAGTAGGCACATGGATCAGAAATTATTGATGTTTTCTCAACTGTCTTTTTTTGTGAAAGGGTAATTTCTCTTCCAATTTATTTTTTGCAATAGATGGTGATGGAGAAGGTACAATGTTTGCCATTATGCTGTTCTTGGCTATGTACATTATGAGAACTGAAAGATGTTGGGTTTTTTTGTTGCACTTGGACATATGGCAAAACAACTCTTCGGAATGACTCTCCAAGGAGGGTCAATGAAACATCTTTCCCTTCAACTACAACTTCCTTTTGTCTTCTGGTTTCATTGATTACAGGAATACCAATATGATGTGATTCATTTCTTCTAAAAGAATACCAATTTGCTAGTCACTAGCCAAAGATTTCACATTTAGAATGTCTAGAGTAAATGTTTATAGTTTTCCTAAAAGCTGTGTGATTCTTACTAAGCCTACCTTGAGCCCTATTTTTAACTATTCCACCATCACTTGAAAAAAGCCACAGAATACTAAGGGCTATCTTTCGCTTTTGTCATTCCCAAAGAATACATCATCTAATAGCTAGCCTACTGGAGATGAATCTCTGTATTTCATGAAACTGGTCCTTGAACAAAGTCTGTGCCCTACACTACTTAAAGTCTTTCAAAGCATGAGAGAAACTTTAGTTTAGCCTGAGGTAACAATTTGCTAACACAGTCTTCAAGAACTGAGGGTCAAGAACCCAAGGCACCAAGAGAGAATTTTCCTCAGGAATCTTTATTTCTGATCCTCCTTGACCATGACAAAAGGCCATCACACACACACACATACACACACACATGTATATATACATATAAATATATATATATATGCATGTGTGTATATATACATATATGTATGTATGTATGTATGTGTGTATAGGAGCCATTTATGTTTCATATGCCACATCTACTCCCACTCAAATTGAACATTCATAATCTATTCAAAGCCTATTTAATAAATTTAAAATTAAATACTAAAAACAATATTGTTAATAAGGATAAGTAGAGGATATATATAAATGAATACAAAAATAAAATACACAAAGGATATACTTAGCTATTTCAAAAAATAAAAAAAATCATTTTTTCTCCAGGAACTGGTCAGATAGTCTTACTTTAAGACACTCATAGGGTGGTTATGCTAAGGTAAAATGTAAACATTCCACAAAAATATCCCATTTGTCAGTATCTAGACATTAAGCTAATTGTATGTAAGTAGAATTAACCCTAACCATTATTCTCCCTCTCCAGCACAAAAGTGAACAGACCTGTGAGTTTTGTGCAGCTCTATTACTTTCTCTTCCATCTCCTTAGTTTGATTGGGTGCAAACTGAAATTCACTGATGTAATCACTGCTGTGTTCCTCTGGGTCATAGTCACCAAGCTCAGCTTGCAGTGTATATGAACCAAGGAGAGCATGAGTCACAAAAGAACAGGGTAGGCGGCCAGAAGCAATATCCTGTCGAAGTTGGAGGCACAGGAAATATCTATGGGGGGAAAAAGAAAATCACTTATTTTCACAGTACCTACAGAGTTCTAATAATATTCTTCAAATATGATTACATTAAGAACAAATGTTCACACCAGAGATAATTTTATGACAATAATTAAATTTGACAAAGCTTATACTTAATCATATATCTTGCCTACAGATTGTACAAGCTGCTGTGTAGATATGTGCACTGAATCAACAAAATACAAACTATAAGATTTGATTATGTACTGCTGATACTATGGTTTTTAAATTTTTTATATTTTATTTTTTCCAATTACATGTAAAAAACATTTTAACATTCTTTTTTTTTAAATTTTGAGTTCCAAATTCTCTCCTCTCCCCTCCTCCCTCCTTGAGAAAAAGCCAGCAATTTGACATAGATTATACACGTGCAGTTATGCAAAAACATTTTTCCATATTAGCCATATTGCAAAAAAAGAAAAAGAAAGAAGGTAAAAAAAAAATATGCTTTGATCTCCATTCAGACTCCATCAGTTCTTTCTCTGGAGGTGGATAGCATTTTTCATCATAAGTTCTTCAGAACTGTCTTAGATCACTGTATTTCTAAGGATAGCTAAATCATTCACAATTTATCAAAATACAATATTGCTATAATTGTGTACAATGTTCTCCTGGTTCTGCTCACTTCACTTTGCATCAGTACATATAAGTCTTCCCAGGTTTTTCTGAAACCATCTGGCTCATCATTTCTTGTTGATGCTATGTTACATATGTGAAATATCCTTTGGGTGTGCCTTATCTCCAACTACCTCCCACCACCACCATTTTTGGATGTAACTACTAAATTGGTGCCACATGAGCATTCAGTTCTAGAGACCTAGACTTTGAGCCTGAACCAGTTCCTTGTTGTTAAGAGAGGAAACACTGCACCAACACTAACCTCTCACTAGCACATTTTTACCTCCTACTTTCCTAGTCTCTGCAAATTCACTAATGTCTCTCAGATGATGGCTGCCATTCCTTACTAATTTTCTTTGTCTCCATTCAGTTCAATCTTCCATTCCCCATTCCCCTTCCTCTTTAGCCTTCAGACTTCTCCCTCCTCCCAGGGAAGATAAAACTTCCTTTCATCTTTGAGCTCTCTTTTTACCCTCTTCTTGTCTTCTTGTACTAACAGAAACCTCACTGTCTCTAAAACTTTCTCGCCAATGCTTAGCTTACTGCTCTATATTGTACATCTCTGATATACTGTGTAAAAGGAGAAGCTAGCATATCTCTTGTCCCCTGCAGCAACTTCTAGACTCTCTCCCAAGCTACCATTACTGGGCAACCTCTCCATCACTGAGTTTCCCTTCATCTATCTACATTATGTAATCCAGAACCTAGGTGCTGTCAATTATTGGTCTCCAACTCAATCTTTGAGAACACCTGACTCAATTTCTCTCTCCAACCTACTTCCTGCCCTAGTAATTTAAAAATTCATATTATACATAGATATAGATAGATAGACAGACAGATGTTAATGTATACTGAACAAACACCCTCAAAGAGCCTTAACTTCCAGTTCAACCACCTCAATTCCTGTGGCCTACTGACTTCACTCTACCCTGAGTTACCCTTAGTGATGGTCATAGACCATCACTAAGACACATAGACCAGCTCTATGACCATCTATAATTAGATTAATTATCTAATTAATGTGATCCCTCAATTCTAAACTAAGAGATCCCCTTCTCTAATCAAAATTTCATTCTCTTCCTTCTGCCTCTCTGTCTCACTTCTCCTAAATTAATTACCTGTTACCCCTTTCCCCCTACCACTTCCTGTCCCTCCATCCACCACTACTGTTGCAGTCAATCACCCTTGCTCTGAACTAATATTCTTTTCATAGTCGTGACCCTATAGTTGACCATATACGTATTATCCTCTACCCCTTGACTCACAATCTGGCAATTTCTCAACCACAGAATGCCCTCACTAGCTACCTACTCTACTTACAGCAACAGTGTCCACTGCAAGTTCAGAATATCTTATGTCAACCAGGCACTGTTATATAACAAAACACTTATCCTCCTTTGAATCAATACAATTAGCATTTATTAAGTACCTTCTAGATACAAAGCATTTTGATAGGCATTGGGAATAAAAAGCCCCAAAACAAAACAAACAGACTGTGCCTACTAGGAGCTTCCCAGGGAAGATAAAACATGTGCATTGATAAGTAAGGACAACTTCTAGAGAAAGTAAAGTCAAGTAAGAGAGAGTATCAGAAACATTACCCCCCTCAATCCTCAGAGGGGACAACAGGAAAAATCTTTGGGCAGGAGGTGACACTTGAACTGTGCTTTGAAAGGAAGCTAGAAGCCCCAGGATGCACTTGGAAGAAGGGAGCAGAGTATTCCAAACATGAAGGAATCAACTCTGCAAAAGTACCAAGCTAAAAATGCATTTTCAAGTACAAGAAAATAGCTAGCTAGTCAGTGTGACTGCAACAGAAAGTACATAAAAGTGAACAAAATTAAATAAGATTGGGAAGGTAGGTGGCAGCTATACTGGAGAGATCACATTGTGCCCTGTATCATCAATCAACAAACATTTATTAAGCACCTACTATTTGCCCAGTACTGTGTTAAGCACTAGAAATACAAAAAGAGGCAAAAGACAGTTTCTGTCCTCTGGGAGCTTACAATGGTATAACAGCTTTACTAGGGCTACCAGATTAAGAGTAGATACCCCCTTTCCTTCATCTTCCTCCATAATCTTACTCATGGTGGATCAATAAATATTTGTGGAATGAAAACACTAATATTTCAATTACCAAATATTTATTATTGTTATCCTAAGCTATATTTCAAGGACTTGTCCTTTTCCCTGATTCTGCATATTCTTCACTCTATAAGACTTTCCCCCTGCCAAGGAGAAATAGCGTCAGTGGCACCTAACATTAAAGTTTGCTACTGTTGTTTCAAAATCTTCCATCCTTCACAATTTTGGGGTTACTATGTGATTCTTATTAATTCCTTCACATTCACAGTCCTGGGTGTCATCATTGCAATTCTACATTTAGTCCATTATTTCTTTCTGTACAGTTTTCAGGTATATCTTTCCCCTCTTTTCTCACAATTCATTCATTCATTCATCCATTCAATAAGCAGTTATTAAGCACCAGTGAGATGCCAGGCACAACACCAAGTTGCATGCAAAGGAAGAGAAACAGGAGATGGAATGTTGCCTACAGGGAGCAGCGTCAAATAGGCCAATCCAAACATTTGTCTGGGCCGTAAAATTTCACACAGACAAAATTACACTTCTTAAGAACAATTCTGAATAGGCAGCCACTCTCCCCCCCGACCCCACCTTCATAAAAGCCTTCTAAATAGCTGGATTCTATATATATTCAATCTGCCATTCCAATCTTATAAAAATGCACTGACTTTAGACAGGTGCTAGGCACAGAAGTGTGTGTGTGTATGTGTGTATGTGTGTGTGTGCGCACACATATTCAATCTGCCATTCCAATTCTATAAAAATGCACTGACTTTAGACAGGTGATAGGTACAGAAGAGTGTGTGTGTGTGTGTGTGTGTGTGTGTGTGTGTGTGTGTGTGTGTGAGAGAGAGAGAGAGAGAGACAGAGACAGAGACAGAGAGACAGAGGGAGACAGAGACAGAGACAGAGACAGAGAAGGTGTACTCAACACTGCAAAAATCACAGATAGATCCATGGAGCACTGCATCCAATAATTTAACAAAGGACAGACAAGCAAGTGGTTCTGCCCATAAACATGGCCCATAAACCAGGCCATCAGTGTACCGCTCAGAATTATAGCTCTTTGAATTGCTGACAGAGTTGCTTTTCAACAAGCCCATTTACATGAAGACCCAAAGCACTTACTGATACTATAAAATAACCATAACCAAGAGATTTTAATCCTACAACAATTTACAGCAGGGAGTGTGTATGTATACAGAGCGGGTGTTGGTTTACAGAGCCCTAATTAAGGTCTATTATTTAAAAGCACTCTTGCTTAGAAGCTCTGTATTCTATGCATGTCAGCGTGTCGGATTCAATGCTCCAACAGCTTACTACGCAGTTAAAAAGGCCATTATTTACTAGCTGAAGCAAATCCAGATCAGAGCTGGATTAGTAATGGTGCATCTCCCCTGCTTCAGCTACAAGCCAGGAAAGTCAAGATGCGTAGCCTTTTACGCACTCCTAGAAAAGAATCTGCATCATCAGTAATTCATACTAACATCACAGCCCTCTTGTGTACCAATACATGGTCAATGTCTGACAGAAAAAGGATAGGCCTTAGCAAACTGTGTCAAATGAACACACAGCAAATTTACAAAACCATCTTTTTTCTAAGACCTATAAGCAAAGGAAGATGAGAAGGCAACTGTTTTGTGAGACTAGCTCTCCATGTGCAAATTCTGCCATGTGCAAAGCTTCAAACAAAGCTGACTTAGACAGCTCACTGGCAATTCCCTGAGAAATGAAATAAAAGGCCTAGGCAACGTGTGTGTGTGTGTGTGTGTGTGTGTGTGTGTGTGTGTGTGTGTATACACATATACATATAATAATACATAAATAAATATTTATACAGATGGAGACCAACACATAGAGGGTCTCAGTGCAGTGTAATACATTTCAAGCACTTTGAAAAATTCCAAATCTCACATTAATAATCTACTACTTTTAATACACTACTTTTAAATGCACCACCTGTCTGCTAACTCAAGCCTTAACTGACATCACCTCCTTCAGCCTTCTCTCCCCTCTGATTAGAAGGCTAGAATTGGACTTCTAGCTCACTCCACTCTTCATCAGCAACTTAGCTTAGTTTTCAAACACCAAACAAAATGGGGTCATCCGGTTTCCCTATGCACCTTTCCTTCATCTACTACTTTGCTTCAGGAAATTCAAAGGACTTCTGATTCTTGTTTTCAGTACTACTAGTGCTACTTTGCTTGAATAATACCAAAGGCCTTCTGACTCTTGTTTTCAGTGACCTTACTGAGTGAAAGGCAAAATTACTGCAAGGCACATTGGAATGGGTTTCTGTTTTGCTTTGTTTTTCATTTAAAAGCTCTCAATAGAGTGCTATAAGGTGCCCTGGAAATTCCAAGTGAAAATGAAATTTACATCCGATAAAATCACATTGCATTACATATAAAGGAAATTACATTAGAACTCCAGAGAAAAGAAAAATACAGATATGAAAAGGAAGAAAGAGATCTCAAAGGAAAAGTAGGATCATACTTTGGAATGAGAAAATAAAGAGTTGAGAAGCATTTGACTTAATGATTCCTCCTCATTATCCTATTTTCAAGCCAAACTGTCCTACTTGTTGTATCCAATATATCACCTCCTATCTCTCACCTCCATGACTTTGTACTGGCTCTCCCCCTTTGCTGGAATGATCTCCTTCCTTAGCTCTGCCTCTTAGAATCACCTTTCCTTCCCTTACGTGAGGCCTTTATTGATTTCCCTAGTCATTACTTTTTCCTTTCCCAATATGTGTTTTGTTCTTACTCTGTATAAACTCGGCATTTACTTAGCTATATACAGCTCTAAACGTTTCCAACTTCCCAGTAAAATATAAACTTGAATTTTAAACTTTGTATCCCAATTCCTAATAGACATTATAGCATTAAACAGAGAGCCAGCACTGGAGTTGGGAGAAATTTCTATTTGCTCTGTGACCCTGGGCAAGTCCCTTATCCTCTAAGTACCCCAAGGCAAACTCTCAAAGACTGTAAGTTATACAGTACCACAGATCTGTACTGATGGAGAGAACTTCCTCACCAGGAGCTCTGTACACAAAAGAAATCACAAGTGTCATTCAGAATGGATAAAAATTCTCAGCGTTTAACTCAAGCAAGTAGTTAAATGTCTTCTAAATTGAGATGAAAAGTAAAAATGTACTGAGCTGTTGAGTAGTTTCAGTCATGTCTGACTCTTCGTGACCCCATTTGGGGTTTTCTTGGCAAAGATGCTGTAGTGGTTTGCCATTTTCTTCTCCAGCTCATTTTACAGAGGAAGAAACTGAGGCAAAGTGGGTTAAGTGACTTACCCGGGGTCACACAGCTAGTAAGTGTCTATGGCCAGATTTGAACTCAGGAAGATGAGTCTTCCTGACTCCAGGTCTTGCACTTTATTCACTGCACCACCAAGCCATCCAACATCATGAATAGTAAACAAAATTGTCTCTGAATGAAGCAAAACTCAGAATATTAAAACTGAGAAACAAAAAATAGGGGATCTAGTTGTTAGGGAATTGAATCATCAAATGATAATAAGTTCACAGACACTCCTGAAATCTATCCTTGGATTTCTTGGGGGTCACTGGACTCTAGGTTAAGGACCCCTATTCCAAGGTTGTATCTACCATTCACAGGATTAAAGCAAAAATTAATTAATTAATTAATTAGTTAGTTAAAGGTCTTAGATGCCATCTCTAGTACCATCTCCTCTTTTTATAAAAGAAACAAGTCCAGAGACGTGAAGCAGTTAAGTCAAGATTCAAACTCATAGCCTCTGACTCAAAGTCCTTTATTTTTTCAACTATACCAAAACAAGATATACTTTACTGATAGAATTTTTAAGGTGACTTAGTATTGCACAATTATTTAAAATGAGCTTACCAGAAAGAAGAAACTGAAAGGGAGAAAAAGATTACTTTGGAAGATAAAGGAATTATTCCCCTTCCCTCACTATTACTTTCTTAAGTTACTGCTAACTGATGAGAATCCATCTGTATTTATAAAATCTCCAGAAAAAGAAGCTTTACAACCTTCTTTGGCTACCACCTCGCCAAACTGTAAGTAGATGGTTATGGGAAGAATTAGTAATTGTGACTTGGGCAATCATCAGAAAAGAATAATTGGCCCATCAGCCTCTGAATAATCATATGGCAGACATTTAAATTACTAAATCTCTCTATTGGTTTGCTCTTCTATAGGAATTAAAAAAAAAATTGAACTATTTCTGGCCTATGACATGCCACTACAATATAGGCAAGAATATATTAATTTTGCAGTGAAAGTCACTGAACTACAAAAAAATGAACCTTTGGATACTATTCTTGATGGAAAGTCTGGCAAAAGAAACCGCATTATCAGCAATAACAGCTTTGAATATTATATACCAAAGGAAGATATAAAGTACAATAATGAAAAAAGAGAGAAATTTGTTTTTAAGGTCTTAAGATATTCAATAATTTAAAGGTATTTATTTAATCTTATGTTCTAAAAAAACCTCTGAATAAAAGTTTCTATTAAAAACTTGTCTCTTTAAAATTTCTTCTAGAATGATTCCCATTTCTTTAAAGCACAGAATTGAACACTGTCACAATTTTTAGTTTGAAAGTAAAATTTATTCTAAAATGCAAGTACCTGGTGATGTCTTCAGTCAGTTGTGAAGGATCAGGAGGATAAAATTTCACATTAAATGTGAATATCCATGGAAGATCTGAAATGATTAAATAGCAGGTTTATTAACAATGTCAATGATCAGATGATGGATTTCCTTTTATGACTTCCAAAGAGAAGGAAAAAGTCATCTAAGAATTACATCTTCAGTTCTGAACACTTAATTAAGCCAAAATATGAATACCATTTATAAGAATGTCTAAGAAGCAACAACACTGAAACTTGGAGTAACCTCATTAATAACCTGGTTTGACTCATGTTAATTCATTAGCATTTCTCTATGAAGATTTCTTATGGCAACCTGGTATACAATCTTAACATGGCCTATAACAAATACCTATAGGATACTGATTGTAAAATACAGTTCTAAAAAAAAATGAATATGTGGGATCGTCAAATGCTTCATTTCGTCTCTTTAAGGGCTAGGTTGGGGTGAAGAATTGGAGGAGGGAGAAAAGAAAAAAAGAGGTTCTGAGATTTCTAAAATGTTGATGAATAAAACCACTCAGGAAATGATAAATAACCAAGGATGATCTATAAAAGAAGTACCTAAAAAGGGCTAGGCATTGTAGATAGGGTACAGGACTTAGAATCTGAATGCCTCTAATTTAAATCCTGCCTCAGACATTTATTAGCTATATGACCCTAGGAAAGTCACTTACCATGCCTATATCAGTTTCCTCATCTGTAAAATGGGGATAATAGCCACTACCTCCCAGGGTTGCTGTGAGGATAAAATATTTGTTAAGTGCTTTGCAAACCTGCAAACGCTATATATATGCGCTAGTGGTGGTGGTGGTGGTGGTGATGATGAAAATGAAGAAGCAGAAGAAGCAGAAGCAGAAGCAGAAGCAGAAGAAGCAGCAGAAGAAGAAGAAGCAGAAGAAGAAGAAGAAGTAGTAGTAGTAGGAGTAGTAGAAGTAGAAGAAGACGACCTATTGATGGCAACTATCTTTCTCAACCCTGTAGACTGAAAAGGCAAAGCCAGAAATCTTCTTGAAAAGAATATTGTCAATAGACAAAGAAAGTGTCCTACCAAATTCCTCTTACAACACTTAATATGGAGCTGATAGTTAAACCAGGAAGAGCAAAAACAGAGAAAGAAAACTACAGACCAATTCCCCTAATGAATATTAATGCAAAAATTTTAAATAAAATACTAGCAAGAAGATTACAGCACTATATCACAAGGATCATACACTATGACCAGGTGGGATTTATACCAAGTTTGCAGGGCTGGTTCAGTATTAGGAAAACTATCAGCATAATTGACCATATCAATAACAAAACCAACAGATATCATAAGATTATTACAACAGATGCAGAAAAAGCTTTTGACAAAATACAACACCCATTCCTATTAAAAAACACTAGAGAGCATAGGAATAAATGAAGCTTTCCTTAAAATATTAAGTAATATCTATGTAAAACTATCTGCAAGCTTTCTCTATAATGAGGATAAGCTAGAAGCCTTCCCAATAAGATCGAGGGGAAGCAAGGATGTGCATTATCACCACTATTATTCAGTATTTTACTAGAAATGTTAGCGATAGTAATAAGAGGGAAAGAAGAAATTGAAGGAATTAGAAGAAGCAATGAGGAAACAAAAATCTTTCAAAGTCGTTGTGATCCCAGGCAAGTCACCACCTCTCAAAAGTCTAGGCAAATCCTTAAGACAACAAGCTGCCAATGGCTGAATAAGTTATAAACGTGGTGGAATACTAACTGTGCTGTGAGAAATGATAAAAGGGAAGGTTTCAGAGAATCCTGGGGAAATGTATGAATTGATTCAGAGTGGAAGGAGCAGAACAATTTACACAACAACAATAATACTGTAAAGACAAACGGCTTTGAAAGATTTAGGAAATTGTAGCAACACAATGACCAGCCATGATCCAAGGCGCTGATGATGAAACACGCTACTCATTAGCCTAGTGAGGTGAGATAGACTCAGAATGAAAATTGAGATGGTCAATGCAGATACTTGTTTTGCTTGACTATACTTGTTTGTAATGGGGGATTTGTTTTTTATCCTATTTCAATGAATGGAAAGAGTGGGAGGAAAAGAAGGCAGATTTTTCTTGATTTAAAAAGATTTAGTTTAAAAAAAAAAGACTAAGTTGCAGAGAAGGTGCTAACTTACTTGGCATAAGGAGCATCCTCTCCCAGGGTACTCCTTACACCAATGAAATCACAGATCCAGCCATTATTCCTTTAATTATATGTGTACATATTGTTCCCAAGGGAATCTAAGTTCCTTAAGGGTATACTGTTTCATTTTTGTTTTTGTATCCCCCTATACATAGTACAGGGATGGGTACATAGTAGGTGCTTAATAAAATCCATCGATTGCTTCAGAAATCTACTATTCATACTTGTATATAATATACATTAAATTGTTGAACATACGTGGCAAAAATGAAATTTAACTATTCTATTAACAATTTGACTTAATAATCTGAAACCAAATGTTCAATCTGATAAACTAACCTTTAGTTAACAAAGTATTTGCCTTCTCAGAATTTATAATGGCTTTTGGGAATATCAAAAAGGATAAATTGGACCTTATTATTTTTAATGTCCTCCAGGTAGTTTCTTTCCCTCTTAATTTTTCTATTGCAAACAGATATACATCAAGGCATTTGGATATGAGGAATCCCTTCAATCTTCTCTTATTCAACCTATTTCCTCTGTTCTCCCCTGTCCATCCTCCCACATCCCCAAGGTCAACATGAAAGACAACTTAAAGGGTAAAAGAAATTAAAGGAAGCAGTAAGAGGGAGGAGGAGAGACATTTCCATTCCTTTCATCTTGACATAGGAGCTTTATGACTTTGTGCTGGAATGAATTATTGGTGTTGGGGTGGATGGTGGGTGTAGACAGAAATACACAGAGATGTACCTGCACAGAGCTAACTGAAGTCAAGAAAGTCAATGTGTTTGCCAAGGGGCAATATGTGCAAAAAGTCTACCAAAAGCACAAGGACAGAATCTTGGGGATGCTATCCTCCCATGTACATTTAAAGAAGGGGAGCTTGAAAGACCAAGGATGTACAAGAGGAATAACAGAGAGATAGAAGAAGGGCAACAGGAGAATCTAACTAATACCAGAATCCAAGAGGAGTTAGAGAAAGATGTCTGAAGCAACAAATACTGCACAAAAGTTAAGGTGAGAGGGAAAATGGGAGGGAGATTAATTACAAGCATCAAGTATAATCTGAAAGTCATCTCTTCCCCAAACCCAGGACGTCCTTCAGTGTCATTTCCCTCTCTCAGCAGTAGGGATGGTATCAAATGAATAAGAAAAAGCAATTAGGGATAAAAATTGATGTTTATTAGGTATCTTAAAAGAAATGGTACAATGAAATGTTAATCAATAAAAAAAAAGTGCTTATGCATATTTTAAAAACATATAGTTCTTGCCTTTTAGGAATTTACAATTTTAGAGAAGTTAGGACACTTAAGTCCAATGGGATAAATGCAAAGTTCAATTAATGAGCTATAACAATTTTAAGGAGAGAGAAATACCATCCAGATTAACAGTTACAGTTCACACCTGTTCCTGCTATAGAAGTAACCTGATCAGAGTGTAGAGAATTAATTATTTCAATACTCTAAATGAGAAGGTAGGACCCCGAGTCATGGCAGTTGCAATGGAAATGCAAAGAAGTAAAGACACAAGACAAATTGCTAAGGCTGAATCAACAAAGAGAAGGCAATGCTGTGTGTAGTAGAAATAATGCTGTATTTCAAGTCAGAGGACTTGCATTCAAATCCGAGTTCTCTCATTTTATTATCTGTGTGACCTTTTCAAGGCCTGTTTCGTCTTTTGTAAAATAAGGGTAACGGATGAAGATCTGTCTTTCAAGATTCCTTCAAGCTCTAAATCCACAATCCTACACCAAGACTTGGCAGATTATTACATGTTTGAGAGAGGAAGAGTTAGAGAAAGGGAATAAGCTCATGTAAAGGATCACAGATGGAGTTTTAAAGAGTTGGAAATGACCTTGGGGCCATCTAGTCCTATATCCTTATTTTATTTTTTGTTTTTTCAATATCCTTATTTTAAAGGTAAAGAAACTAAGGCCCATGGAGAGGTTAAGGTATTTTCCCAAAGTCACACAAGTAGTAAATGAAAGAAATGGAATTTGAATTCAGCTCCTCTAATTCTAGGAGTCATTGTCTCCAAGGTTACATAGTTTGGGTAACTGGGATGATAGTCATATCAACAGAAATAGACAGTGGGAAGATAAAAGGTGGGGTTGTGAATTGAATGTAAGTTTAATGACAAACATATTGACTTTAAAATATCAGTGGGCCATCCAGGTAGATCTATCCAATAGACATTTAGAAATATTTTGCTGAATTTCTTTGAATAGTTTGGTGTTCGGGATATAAATTTGGGACATACCTGCATAGAGATGATAACTGGAGTGTGGTTCAGTAAAAAGAGCAGTGAGTTTGGAGTAAGAAGATCTGGATTCAAATACTTGCTCTGTTACTTACTAACTGTGTGACTAGGGGCAAGTCCCTCTACCTCTATGGGCCCCAGTTTTCTCACCTGTAAAAATAATGTGGAAGTGGCCTAAATAGCCTCCCAGGCTCATTGCAGCTCTAGACCCATGATCTTGTGAGACTATAAATTATAGCAATGAGCACCCTTCTGCCATGGAAATGAATGAATTTGCCAAGGGAAATTATGTGTAGAAAGAGCAAAAAGAGTCCAAGGGACAGAAGACATGCATTTAAGGGAGGGAAGGGTGAGGGACCAGTAAAAGGCAGAGAAAAGGAACAGTACAGAGGAGGGGATATCATGAGAATACATTGCCATTTACTCAAATGGAGGAGAATATATCCTAAAGGGAATCAGAAGTCCACATGCTCCAGAAACACCAAGGAAAACAAAACTTGAGGAGCAAAATATTAACATCAAGCATAATCTGAAATTCAATACTAGTGCCAATTCTGACATCAGTATCAACAAGAGAATTTCTCAATACTCCTCAAAAAGCTTAAATATCAATGGGGGGATGGGGAAATA